AAACCCTGATGCTTTCTGAAAAACAAATCATGGGAGACCTGTGGAAGCTTCCATATTGCATTCCACATATTGTATGTGTGACAAGGTGGTGTCACGCATACAAAGGAAGAGTGAATAGACTGAAATACTGCCCATGCTACACTGGTGTGTCCCCATCCTTGGGAATACAATAGTTGGCCATGACTCTTCACCCTTTGGCCTATCTATTTAAAGCCAGCCAACAAGCACTGATGCTTGTGTCAGCACAGGCAATAATTTAGATTTTAAAAGTGACAAGTAGTTTTGCTTCATGTTCTGTTTCCAGACAGAACATGGCCAGGAGGGTTGTGCCAGGGTACACCATCTCGGGAGTGGGCTCAGATGTATCCATGTTTTCAATAGGATTGTATTTAGCAAATTGTTTCTCAGAATTGCTAGGAGAAATAATAAATTCAGGTGCTTCACCTGGAGTTGCCAGAATGATTTTTGTTAACTGTCCCTGCTGGATTCACTGGATCTACTGGAAATCCGGCACTTGGAAATATTTTAATCTAAGAGCAATTGACTTGAAATGGTCCCAGATTGTTCATTTAATTTTCTTCTTTCTTTCTGTGCCAGTGAAAAAGTACCCATTGCTGTCAACATCCAAAGCCTCAATATACTATTTGGCAACATTCGCCTTCTCTTGACAGCTTGAATACTAAGATCAAGTATTAAAAGTATGGCCTGGCTGATGAAAGTAATTAAGAGACTTCTCTCAGCCAGGAGAGTTTACTAACCCCATTTACTGCAGTAAATGGGAGAGACTTTCAGTCTCCTGTCAAAAAGAGACCATTGGTGTGTGCACGTGTGCCCTTTTATACCGATAATGAACTACTGGAACACGCTCTTGCTGGAATTGAGGCTGGAGCGAGGCAGGGGCTGGTTGCTGTCAAACCAGCCTGTGTCAGCCAGTGGCTGGCTGAGATGAGAGGTAATAGTGGAGCAAGCACAGGCTGCCAGGGGTCCTGTCCTGCCCTTCCACTGTGGGGCCACTTCTACAAACCATCACAGAGTGAAGCAGAGTGAGGCTGGATTTCAGCACAAAGAGGGGACTGTGAGATCAGGCTGAAATTCAAGATGTAGGAGATCCAAGAGGATCTGGAATATGCTTAGAAAGATGCTGAGAGTCAGTAGACACGTAAGTGTAAGCAGGACTAACCGAGAAGCGGGAGCCTGAAGGTGTGAGAGTGGGTGTGTTTCTATGCTTGTGTCCCTGTTTTGCAAACACCATCACATCAGATATTGTACAAATGGTGTGTGGGAAACATTCAGCAGTGAGTGGTGCAAAGAACTGGTGATGGAGAAGAGTTATGCTTCTTCCCTTCTAAACTAGATGCAGGAAGGATGTGTGGGAGTCAGACAGTAAAAGAGAGGAAAATCAAAAGCTACTCACTAAAAGAGGGCAGAGTGGTGTGACATTAAGGCTCTGTGAGCTTTTTGCATAAACCTGCCTGAGGGAAGTAAGATTTCCACTTTCAAGCAAAATCCAGGCTACACTGGGATCCCTGCACTGGCAGAGTTTGTGCATGGCGAGCTGCAAGGTGAGAGGTTTTCTTTCACCTCTGAGATTACAGCAATGCTCGTGTTGGCTGTTCCTATCTTTACCATCTGCCTCTGCCTTTTGTCTCCTAACAATAATCTCTGTTCTCCTCCTGTTTTTCTCTTTGGATGCTGAATATGAAGCAATGTCTGGTTACTCGTTGTACAATCAGCAGCATCTCCCCTGAGAGAGGAGCTCCTGCTTTGTGGGTCGTGCACTCCCCATGCGTGCTGAACGCTGCACCTCTGTATCCTTGTTAGAGTCTGTCTGTTCGTGGCAAAGTCAAACCTTGCCTCTGGGATTACGGAAAGCTTTTAGGGCACATGTAACTGGTGAGCACAACCAGTGCTGTTTATAGCCCAGCCTTCTTAAGAGATACGTGATCCCTTAAAGTGACCTGGGATTTCTGAGGACAAAAATTCTCTGATGTAAAGTGCATCTCTGCCATCTTTCTGCCTGTGCTTGTTGCGGGGCTCTGCTTTTTCATGCAGCAGAGGTGCATTTGTGTACATTTATAGATATCTGTGAAATCTGGTGATCAAAGTGTAGTGCACCACTAGGTGGCAATGCGATAAATCCAGGGAATCCAGCAGCAAGCCGGACGCGCCTCGCTTTCTTAACGAGTGAAATTCTGGCCACCAAAGCCGGGAGTGACACCCCCAGGAGCTCTTATTTGCCCTAAGAAGAAGCAGCTCGCATCAGCGGTAACAGGAGCTCCAGCGTCAGTTACTGAAACTCCCTCTTCCGAGGTTTAACAATTAGCCTGTAATTAATTGAAGCAGAAAAGACATAGGGCAACCTTTTAAAAATTTATTTCTCCTTAGTGAGGTATTACAGATGTTATTTGGGATATGTGAGGATTTTATTTTGCTAAATAAGTAGTTTTTGAGATTGAAAAAGACAATTATCCTCTAATTGGCATTCTGTGTAATATGGTCCCTTAAACAGACCTAGTAGAACTCTCTGGGAGCTGGGTGGTTTCATTAAGATACTCAGCCTGGATTTACTGACATCAAGGGAAGTTCAAGCACATCTTAAATTACCCTGTTGATTACCATCATTGCTGTGTACATTTCTAGGCAGGTAGCTGCTAGTGCACACATCCCTGAAAGGAAAGAGGGGAAGACCAAGGGCAGGAAATGTAGGACTTGTATCTCTTGGGTTTTTTAGGAGTCCAGCGCTCACAGAGCAAGCAGAGAGTCAGGTATTTGGGACCTTTGCAAGGTCACACCATCCATCACATCCAGGTAACTGTAGGTCTGCATCTTTGAGACAATGGGCTGGTTTTGACTGTAAAATTAGCAGTGTTGTTAAAATACAGCTAACACACTGTTCTCTGCAGCATTTTATCTCTACCATCAAAACTGCTCTGTCTTTTCTGTTCACGTATTGGTGTGTGTTCTGAAGGTCTAGAAGCATTGCTTGTTTTAATTCCAGATAATTTTTCTCCATTTTAGGTTGAAGGTGGGGGGAAAAAAAAAAAAAAAAAAAAAAAAGGAACCCAGAAAACTCGTTGCCCTCCCAAAGTCCTTCTACCCCTGCAGTCAGGGACAAGCCTAACAAGACACGTCTCCATCCTTCTGCACAGAGCTGAGGCTGGGCCTTGGCCCAGTTAGGTGGCTGCGGCAACCCTTGTCTCAGTGACAGCTGCTGTAATAGCTGGTCCCCAGACATGTGCAAGGATCTGGATTTAGCTTCCTTTTTTTCAGGTTGTAACTGTGATTTCTCTGTGGGCATTGTCTAAAAATAAAGCAGGACCTGTCGGCAGGTGAAATGAAGAATAGGCTGGGTAGCGGTGACCGCTCTCTTCCGTGTGTAATTCAAGGGCTGTTTCTGGGGAACTGCACTGCACGGCTCTTGGAGGATGGCAGCTTGTTCTCTCTCTGGTGTAAAGAAAGGGGTCACCTTCTTATTTCCAGCTGAAGGGGGTCACAGCCTGTCCCATGTACCTCAAATGCTAGTTCTACGTATTTCAGAAGGAGAGGGTGCAATGCCCTTCATTTCACATGCTGGGCTGGGGAGCAGGAAGCAAGCAGCACACCTATGTAACAGTGTCCTGCTAGATTGCTTCAGGCTGGGGAGATTTCAATTGCTCCTCACTACCCAGAGCTAAGTATCACTCTGTGATACTTGTGGTTGTATATATTACTGCTGCAGGACAGTTTCTAAGACCTACCATAAATATATTTTTCCAAAAGCCTAAATCTCCATGTGTCACTGCAGGAATTCTTTGCAGGAAGATGGGGAGACTAAAAGGCACAAAATAGGCCTGATTCCTGACAAATTCAGTTGGACACTGCTGCAACTGTATTTTCTCTTTATAAAAGCATAAGTATGGTCCACTGAGTTCCCTGTCTCTGGGTTTGTTAGCAGCTTTTGGTTTTAGAGCTGTGGAGTGAGTGTACAGACTTTTAAGATATTAGCACTTAATGGTGTTGATAAGCTATAGCTGATTACTTCAGAGGGATACTAAAGCTTCTTTTTTGTTTTTTATGACCTGAATAATTATTAATTTGATGTCTGGGCATACAAATCAGCTTGATTTATTTAATTGGTGATGTAACAGTGAAAATTCAAAATAAAGATATGAATGTTAAAATGTGATAAATGTACCCTGATTGTTGTCTCTGTGTGCTACTGCATTTTACCCCACAGCTACTTGTTTAAAGTTAAAACTTCATTTTATATTTCCTAGTATAGGTCATAAAAGTAACCTTTGGGATAAGGAGCTAACTGCTCATCTAAATCAGTTTGTTCACACATACCTGACCTCTTTGAGATTTTCTCATATAGTGAGAATTAAAAATACAATTCTTAATTTTCTTCATATTTACCCAGTCCAGCTGTATTCATGGAGAGAAATTGTGTGGTAAACTTTTTCTGTATGCTTTCTAACTGTTTAGTTATTTCCATCCTTCTTCAACTGACTATTTTTAAGGCTCTTTTTCACAGTTGTGTCAGTTCTCCAAGAGCTTCACTTCTGCCTGAAGCTGCTAAGTCAAAGCCTGTTTTATTTTTTTTAGCATACTCAAGTCCAACAGTCTTATCTTGGCTTATCTCTCCTACCAGGCTTTTCATCTAGCTACTTCTCCTTCGCTACCGCTTTTCTTTATTCTTCCTCCCCCTTACCTCAAATGGAGAGCAAGAGGAAGCAGATTCTGGGACATAGAGATAATAGAGAATAGAAGCAGGACATTTCACCAGGATTTAATGCATATTAAAAGAGGGGATTAATGCATTTTCATTTTCACATTGCTCTGGATGGGCATCTTACTGTACCTTTGGTGAAGTAAAGTGACTTCTAAACTTCTTGGGACTGGACTGCAGAGAGACTTCTGCGCAGTTCTCAGAGCTGAAATAGCTGAGTACTACAGTAGGTGTCTGATGTTAGTGCAACGCTGATTTTTTTGTCTGAAGCTCTGTTTCTCATTTTTTGCAGGGATTCCTGAAGAATGAAAAAGATAATGCATTGCTATCTGCCATTGAAGAGTCTAGGAGGAGGGTAAGTTGGAAGAAAGCACCATTGTTTTTGCCTAAAAACAAAAAACAGGAGAGGTTTGCAGAGTCTAATTTTCTTCCCTTGAAAGGGAGCAGTATTTAGTCTGTAAGAAAAAGACAGAGTTAGCCTTCCCCTCTTCATCTCCTGTATCTTCACCTTTGAACAAATAGCTGTTTTGAAGATTATCTGAGCAGCAGCTTGTTTTCTGATGGGAAATTAATCTAATCCTGTTTCTGAATCCATTTGTGCTTTTTGTATCTGCCATGTTCTGGGACAGTGATTTTTCGCACTTGAATCATGCAGCATGGAAAAATGCTTCCTGTTTGTCTTGAAACTCCTTCTTGGAAATGTCAAAATGTCATTCTGTACTTCCTAGTGCTCATGTTATGATTGTTTCCCTCCATGTATACTGGGGGCATCAGGTTTAGAACTGAGTCTGTGTTTCTTTCAAATGATAAGAAATACTACCTAAGCATGATTAAAATATTTCAATTATATAAAATTATCTGTAATTATTGAAGCATATTTAAAACCCTGTGATTATAGAGAAGGTATGGGTAAAACCTATATCCTGCCATGAAAGTATAAAGTGAATTTTATAACGCAACAAAGAAACACGAATCTTAAGCTCTAGTTGCATGCTTGCACTGTAATTGTTTACCAAATGTCACTGTCTCTTATCAGTTCTTTCTTCTGAGAAATGTTTTGCTCATTAATTGACAATATCCTAGCAGTGAACTGCAATTAAATGAAAAACTTAGCCAACCAAGACATTTAGTTGAGTATGTTGCAGCACAGGGCTGTGTGAAAAGGAAAGAAATAGAAGATACAATATAGTTTATTCTCTCTTTAGAATTAATGGAGAGTCTCTTATTTCCTGTGGTGGTATACCTGAAGCTGTTAGTCTCACCCCAATAATAACAGAAAAGGTAGTGAAGCATCTTCTCTATCTTAATGCTATTACCAAAATAAGGGAGTATTTTCCTTACTGAGGGAAAAGCTGTTCCCTCCCATATGTTCCTCAATTGGATCTGAAACAATGTAGCACATCAGCCATTTTAAAGGTAAAGGGTTTTTTCCTTGGGATTTGATTTTCTTGTGTGCTTTCCCAAGTTATGTTCCTGATAAAGAGACTTCCTGATTCTTTGACACTGGTGTATTTTCCCTTAGTATTTTGATTTTTTATTTTATCCTATTTCCCTTTTAAAAGAAAAACGCACTGGTAAAGACCTGAAAATGATTATGTACCATAAACACACATCTTTGTTAAGAATGCAGCGAGTCAGACCTTTGTAGTCTCCAGGGAGGTGAAAAGCAAGTGGTCATTAGAGAAGATAAGTCTCAACAAACCACACAGATCAGTGATGAACCTGGATATTGTGTGTGTGCTGCTAAGCTAAAGAAGGAAGCCTTCTGATTTTCGGCCTGCTCAGATTCCTGTGCTGCTGTGGCACGGAAAAGACACAGTTTCCCTCTTTTACCAGCTGGGGGTATGTGAGAGTTGTCTTAATTCCATGTACACCTACTTTCTGAATCCCATTGTACCTGAACTGGAAGACTGTTAAAATAATATGCAGCACACCATCAGCTCTTGAGGGCTGACCTGGTTGATTGATGTAGTTGCTATTTTCTGTTTCGTTTTTGGGCTTGTCTATTAATAGCAGAGTTAGGCTGGTGTGTGTTTCTGTATGTTCCTTAGCTCTTGTTCTTCTTCACTAACAGACTTTTGCCATGGCTGAGGAGTATCACCGAGAATCAATGCTGGTTGAATGGGAGCAGGTGAAACAAAGGATTCTTCATTCTCTGCTTGCATCAGGTGAAGATGCTCTTGATTTCACCCAGGAAAATGAGGTAACTGTCTTTCTAAATGCTGTACACAGTCACACACAGCACTGTACACAGCTGGCATTCCAGCACTCCTGAAACCACCTCTGAAATATTCCGCAACTACAACTGTGTGAAAATGAGAAATAAAAAATCCCTATTTAATTCTAGAATGGCTCTGACTAGCAGAATGCGTTGTTTAGCAGAATATCAAACCTTTGTGATTGTTTCTATTTATTGGCTGATGGGTACAGGCAATGGAACCTGTTGCTGAAGCTGTGTTTTGAGCAACATATGTGCTGGCTGGAACTTAGTCACAAACACATTCTAGGTAAATATACCCCGGGGACAGAAAACACACTGGGGGCTTCAGGAAACCCTTGCGATGTGACACCAGGGAGTTTCTCAGGTGCAATTCTGCTTGCACATAGGTCTTAGAGTGTCTCTTCCCTTTACTGTGTGCTAGCCTGGATTTATGGCTTTTCTTAGGAGACTGATGAAGTCTCTCAGGTTTCTTGGCAAAACCAAATGAATAAACAAAAAAAAAACAAGCTTTCCTTTTTATCTTGCTGTCTCATGCAGAGCAGATTAGAATTTTGTGCTTTTCAGACCTCTAGTGTTCAGGTTAATCCAGCAGTGACCAAATCTTTTGGGCAAGACTGACTCCATGTTTAACAGAAGAGATATTGACTATCATCCTAAAACATTCTTTATCTTCTGTTACAATTTAAACCTTTTCCAGTTTATTCTCTTAAAGAAAATGTTTCAGTTAAATGAGTAGGGCAAAGCAGAGTTACATGCAGGGTGTTGGAAGCCCAGCTCCTCTGAGCTGAAAGCATCAGACAGCAGCTGTGATCCCTGGAGCACAAAGTTACATCACTGCTGCTGCACTATGCTCCATGAAAATGCTTGGCTTGAGAAGAGAGGGGATAGGGAGTGGGGGGATGCAAGTTGCTGTGCTTTCAGGCTGAAAAAGAGACACATTTTTTATAGCCATATTCTTCACCCATGAAAATGAATTCCTGTTCATTGGGATGACCTGCAAGTATACTGAAATTAAAACAGCCTTTGGTGCTAATGTGGTATGACCTGTATAGGGATTTGGAAATAATTAAAATTGTTAATGAAATGTCCCTTTCTGATTACTCTTCTTTTAAATATAGGTTAATCCCAGTTAGCATACCTCTTTTTATAGGGGCTGTCTTCCCCAGAAAATATTTTTCTGATGCTTTACTGGGACTTCTCAAAGGTTGTCCAGCTTTCCAATATTAGAAATGCTAAATAATGCAGACTGAATTAATTTAAAACTAGGAACAGTTATCCCATTATTTTAGGATGTGAATCTGAAGGCTTGGTCATTACACGATACCCTCTAACATCTTTGATTTGTGTGCTAATTACTGGTTTTGGGTTTTCCTTTTGGAGTGTGAATGTTAACTGCTAGCAGAAGTAATTTAATAACACACTCTGAACAGGTTAAAACCCTATTCTGGTGTTTCATTGTCAAATGGACACTACCCCCAGTCAATGGCACTTAAGATGCCAAGCATCAAATTGGTGTGAGGGAGGAGGGGAGAAAACTCAGCTCCTAATGTTTCTGGTGAATGTGTTTAAAGACTCAATGTACACTATCACTCAGTAATACTCCTCTCTCTGTTTCAAAGCTTTCATAGTAGCAGTATGTCATTTCAAGAGCATTTAAAATCCTTGATATATTCTAGTGTTAGCCTCAAGAAGTCAAAGGTCTGAGAGGTTTGAAGTGCATCTACTGTGTTAAAAGCCTGTTATCTAACCTCCCCACAGCAGGTTGTTCTTCTAAAGCCTTGTTCCAGTCAAATAAGTTTTTTGTGTGTATGTGACACAAACAGACACAGCCTGTAGAATTTAGTAGAGGTTTAATTGATATCCTCTGGAGATGGAGAATCAGCTGAAAAGGCACAGATCCAAACGCAGCAGGGGGCCGGGTCTGCCTGTGAGCCAATTCTCAAGCTTTGGGCAAGCTAATTTGGGCAGAGTGAAATACCAACACATTATTCATTGAAATAAGACCAATTAACAAGCAAAGCTCACGATTCAAAGAACCTAGTGCAGGACTTGCCATTGAGGTTTTCTTTTCTCCCTTGTCCTCCAGCCTGGCCACCTTCTTGTTCAGTGAAAAGCAGAGCTGATATAAAGGTGCTTCTTGTGGGGCTGGAAAGGGATGAAAGCCTGAGATTTGTCTTCAAGCTATCAAAAACCTCTGGTCTGAAGGTGTTTGTTATGACTGTTGTGCCATGAGGTGCCAAGGCGTTTCCTTTGTCCTTTTCCAAGTTTTTCCTTATTCCAGGTTTTTCTTTCTTCCACCCTTGCCATAAGCTCTTCCACTTCCACTGTCAAGCAGGATGCTCCTGCAGTTATAGGGACACACTGGCACCTCTTGGTTTCTGTTCTGCTCCTCTGTATTGCGTCTTCATACCCCTTAAATCCCAAGCACTGCAAGATGCTTCCACTCCACCACAGTGTATTTTGATGGGGTTTCTCCAGCTTGGTCTCCTGCCTAGATATTCACTGCGTCTACTGGCCAAGCCATTTGGAGTGCTGACAAAATGTCTGCCCAGACTTCTGCTGAGGAATGTGCATATGCATATGAGGGTGATGAATAATGCATCTTTGCATGCACTGGGTTTGGTGTGCAAGTGAGGCTGAATGCTTGGCTGAGTGCAAATGAAGGAGGACTCCTTTGAAAAGCAACATCGTTTGGCTAAGTGAATTTAAAAGATAAAAATGTGATGGAAGTGCAGCTAAGCTGCAGCTTTGAGAAATGCATAATATTCAGAATAAATATTACAGTTCTGAATAATGTTTTGAAAAGATCAAAATTCAGGGCAGGGAAAAGCAAAGGTGTTTGAGAAAAATGGCACAAGCCATTTAAGCAATATCAGACTAGAGATACAGCAAGATTTGTGTGTGTGCACTTACACTTCTGCAGTCCTTTGTGCATCCCCCACTTTTCTGCTTTTCCTTTTGCTGCTCCAGTTAAACTTCAAAACCTGACCTGAAACATGCTGCATCTCATATGCTCCTAGCTGCTGTTTTGAGCACATCTTTCATTATCTTTTTCTTGCTTGAAACTTGATAAGTTCTGACTTGCCAGCAAAGAACATCCTCTCCCCCTCCACTTTCCCCCGTTAGTTTGTAGGGGGGGAAAATCCTTCCCTTCTTGGGAAGGATTGCCTGCACAATCCATTTCTGCCGTTCGTTCAGGGGGAGCCGTGGAAGTGGCCTTCCCCATGCTGACTCACTGCTTTAGTTTTCCTTTTGAACTTTCCCTTTAGTACAGCCATGTGACGGTTGTGAGCTAGTGCTTTCTTGTAGTTTAATAATTCAAAGGTGAAGCCAGAATGCACGCATGAGGTGGGAAAAAATAGGAAATAAGCTTGCTTCCATGGCTCTTTTTCCATAGGAAAGAAAAGTATAAGAAAGTTAGGACAAATTCTAGACTTCTTGATTTTCATTTTCCTGAAGTGCCAAGTCATTAGAATTTGAAGAATTTAATGTCAGTGTGGCAGTTCTCAGCTGCAGCAGATAGTTAAGAAATGTTTGCTAAAGCATAATGGTTAAACTAAAATTGGTGAAAGGAAAGGAAAACCCAACCCCAGAGCCGTTATTTCTTAGTTTCAGGTGTGCACTTTTGAATTCAGCTTGTTACCTGAATTGGTTTGAGCCAGTCTCTGGAGTGGCAGCCTCGTGGGTGCTCTTTGGTGCTGCAAAGCAGGAAAAAGAACAGACTCACAAAACAGAGCCCCAGTCCCTGTGTGTCTGCTGCTTGGGCAGTGGCTGAAAGTGACACTAAGTCACTATGTACAGTCTTCACTTGCTTTAGGAGATGAAACCTCATTGGTAATTAATGACAGCGTCCATAATTTAGCATTACTTTAAATAACTCTGCATTTTATCTGGCTCGGCACAGTGAAAGGCTGCAAAGCGCTATTTCTGCCATCGTGTCTGTTTCCCAGGAAACCTGCTTTAACAGTTTCTTTGTTCTTTAGAACAAAGAATTTGTCGGGTTTTAGGTGGGTTTAATGGAATTTGTGTCAGATGATTTGGCAATAAAAGAAAAATGCAGATGCTTCTGAATATCAGTACCCACTAAGAGGGACTGGGAAGAATATTTTTAGTGTAAATTCAGTTGCAGAAAGAAAAGTGAAATTGCTTTTGGGTTTTTTGTAAGGCCTTTTTTTAGAGCCTGAGGTCTAAATGCACCTGCCTGATTTTGTAATCAGGTTAAACATTATTTAAATAGCATTAGTGAGAATTAATGCAGTAATAAACTAATTTCAGCCATTTTAAAGGATTGTCCAGGTTCATCCTTGGTACCTCCATTCATTTATATTTCATTATGTTAGGGACAAACATTGCTGAGTATTTTTCATTCTTTAATCAACTGCTGTATGCTGCACAGAAACCTGTAACTACAGATATCACAAAGCTCTTATCATTTCATGATAGAGGTTTGTGCCTTTATCTTTATGTATAAATTTTTAGCCAGTGCAGAACAGTTTCTTGGCCATTCCAATTGTGTAGCTTTTTTTCTTTTTCAATTTTAACTTGTGAACACTTTACTGATCAAAACTCCTGGACTGGGACAATGAGTAGTAATTGTCTTTGTAAGGACACATGCTCATGAGTGTAAGAGAGGTCTTACATGGTAGAAGATACTCCAGCTTAAACTAATACCAAAGTAAAATTAATTTGGGAAAGACTGAGAGAATTATCAGTTTTACAATGAGCAATAACATGTCTGGAAGTTAATTTGTTTGTGTTATTTCATTTTGAAGTTGGGATACAGTTCCCAAAAAAAGATTATTTTGAAGACTCTGCCAGTATTTCATCCACATTTGAAACAAGAAATTGAATGATGGCACCATCTGGAGAAAAGCTGTCCCTTTCTGGATGACTTCCTGAAATCCACACAAGCCAGGTCATGGCAGGAACATTGCTCCTGCCATGCTGCAGTCTGACAGGTGTCAGCAAAGCTGAACTCTAAAGCTGGTTAAACTGGAAGTGAAAACAATGATTTTCCTATTGCATTTGGACATTATGTTTGTGCAGGCAGCAAGTTGGTCACATTTAAGTGAACTCTTCCAGGCAAGACTAGAGCACATCATGAGGCAATCCTTGGAGGTGATCCTGTCTGCACTGTAAGGTACTGACATTCTGGGTAACCAGTGTAAGAAGCAGTAAAGCTGTTTGACCGTATTGCTTAGGTGCACTGGAACAACTAATGAGGATGTGCAGCCAGTTGTAACTGACTTTGATGGTAAAAAGCTTAATTTTTAAACTCTGCAGATGTACCTGCCCTTTCTCGGAAAAAATTACTGATTCCAGTTTAGATGAATATCCACAGCCTTGAGTTATATGGTAACAAGCTTGGAAACCTTGCTTTGCTGAAAGCTTCTCTGTTCCTTTTTGCTTGCCCCAACTCTGTCAGTTGGCTTCATAATAAATATTTTGCTTCTGAACTGAGCTTGTCTTGCTTTGATCTTCAGACCAGCATGGCTTCTGAAGCAGCTGATATTAAAGGACTGTTACCTCAAAGGGATCTGTCTTTAAAATTATTGTACTTTATTTTTCAAACTCAAGACTTGCAATGCTGATGCTGGAATGAAGAATTACATTCTTTTACAAAACAGAAAATAGCAGAGCATTGCTCAGAGTATTCTTTCCTCCAGAGTACTGAGCATCTATGTTCAGTGGTGGCTGTACTGAGAACATACCTGTGCCTTGGAGTGAATACTTAAAATCACTTTATGCAACATTATACTATTGTGGCATGTTGTATTACGAGTTTTATAAGAGTATGAATTTTGGATGCCATGATTCCACTGGCTGTCTCTCCCTGCTCTACGCTCAAAATATCTCAATCTTGGCATAGTCTCTATAGTCATAGTGGGTAAAAAGACTCCTTTTTTCAGGTCAGGATACTGCCAGCATACTTCCTCTTGCAGCAGACCAGCAGTGGGGCACTTTCCAGCACACATTAATGCTGCAGTCCTGTTTTATGTCTATATCATGGTACTGGGACAAAACTGGAGTATCAGATCTGACAGATTGGATCTATTTGATCTTGTCTGTTGGATTCTATGTCCTTGCTGTGATGGAGGTTCAGAGTAGATGCCTCACAGCGAGACATTGACAAGAAGCAACCTTTCAAGAAACAAAAGCAAAGAATTAAAATTATAAGGTGCTACCAAGAGACACTGATGTCCTAATTCTAGAGAGCTAATGGTTGGTTTGTGCACTGAATAAGGAGGATTTCTGTCACTCTAGAAAGTTTAAGCTATTTTGGGAAGATAATGGGGTATTGCAGTGAGACTGCATTTTTCTCTGTAGATGGTTCAAAACCCTGTTCTTAGTTCTGTCAGGAACATGGTTTTGCTGTTGCTCTTTAGGAGCAGATGTATTGGTAAAATGCATTGCAGTAATTCTATACTTCATATCTTCCTTTACACTTCTCATTCAACAGCCCAGCTATGTTGGTGAGGTGGGTCCTCCAGGTCGCAGCTCCATGGACAGTGTGGAGATGGCATATGCTCGTCAGGTGAGCGGGAGTGAGAAAACTTCATTAAACACAGTGTTCTACATGGAGAGAGACAGGGAAAATAAAGATTGGAGCTTAGTGTAAAAGAAAACGTGGTAGGTAAAACCTGAAAATACCTGCCTAGAGATAAAATGCGATTGACAAACACACAAATCTTGATGTTTTTAGAAGCATACTGACCTGTTTGCAATAGGATATTTTTTCAAATAGAGATCCTGAGCACCATATATGACTGTAGAAAGCATTTAAGCTTGTAAAATAAACTCAAATTAGTTTAAGTTTTGAAAGCAGTTTTTTTAGGATTTGTGTCAATGCATAATTGTTTACAAATGAAGGCTTTATATTCCCTTTATTTTCATATGTAGAAGATCATTTTTCCCATGTATGTGTGTAGGAAAAAATATGCTGAAGTGTTAATCCTGATGTTTGTTGAATTATATCTTATTTTAATGACATTGCTTATGAGAGGCTTAGTGCATCAGCTATGAATTAATGTGCCTGGTAGCGTTAGACGCCCTCGGAAAAATTTCAGGGAAAACTGATAAGCCTTTATATAACCAATTTGTTACTGTTGTTATTTGGCATTATCTATTTACCAGCACTGTTGAGAACAAAATGAAAGAAAAGAACTTGGTTTTTGAAAATGGAATATGTGAAATGGTGTTGCTTAATTTGCACTGAATTACTGTTATTGTGTGCTTCGGCTCAGTCTGCACTGAGGCAGAGAGCAGCTTGTGCATCTGTTTTCCTACATCTGCATTCAGTTATGGTAACTGGGAAGAAACCGATAGCAAAAGGTTCATGGTTGTGCTGATAAAGTGTACATTTGATTTAGCGGCTTTAATAGTTTGTTAATTTAGTTCATATCTACTGTAATATATCCACAGTAAATGTCTTCTTCAAAGCATAACTGTCTGTGCTTTGAAGCCATCAGTGTTACTCCATGCTGCTTTTTGGGTATGGAAAGCCCAGTCTCTAGCAGTCCTCCTGGCTCTGGGCTAGCTGTGGAGTCAGCGTGGCCAGTGGGCCTTTGTCAGGGTCACAGGCTGTGCACAGACTGCAGTGTGCCCTGGAAATGTGGTGTTTGTGGCCAGGCTCCTGCTACCACAACACTTGGTGCATTCACTGTGTGCTCCCAACAGGGGCTCCAGAGAAGCTGGCCTGGCTGAGCTGTCCTTATGTCAGCCTGCTGTTCAAGAATAACCCAGTGTCAGCAGTCTGTGTGGGGCTCCTGTGGCTTCAGTGGAGAGTTGGGAGACCTGGAGCTCAGGCAGGAGAGCTGGAGATCCATGCTGCTTCTATTTATCAGCAGCCATGAAATGTGTTTTAATTACAGTGAACTGATCAGTTGTTCTTCGTGGATAGTTCAAACTGTCTCACAGGAGCACGGTGACATCCACGGACACGATTTCACTGATGCTGCATTCTGTTTGCAGTCCTGAGCTCTACATCTTGTCTCCACCTTGGACATGTTGCAGTAGTGCTGCATGCCAAATGGAGTTAAAGTACAATGGCATGACCTTTCTAGTATTGAGAATTATAATTTTTGGACACAGTGGAAGGTCTTTGGACTGAGAGTAGAATAAACAATAGTAGACGAAGCTCAGTGAAGATCAAGAGTTAGCAGGGAAGTGTGAGTATATGTTTAAGGGCAGGCTCTGAAGGGGCAGGTTCCTGTTCATTTCCCTGTCTCAGATTTCCCTGAATACTGCCACAAACCAGCAAAATCCTGTTTCTTTCACATCAGCAGGTAGGAGGCTGCCATGCAGGGGAATATCACTGCCATCCACTTGTCAGGTCACTTCTGAATCTTTGTCCTTCAACAATTAGCTGCAGTTAGTCTAGCAGGGCATTCAGTGCAGTGCTCTGCCATGCAAAACCACTGAACAGCTGGGCTGCTGCTGGCCTTGGGGCAGGCCTGGGGCTTTGAGGGGGTGTGCAAGCTTGGGTGATGCTGATGCCCATTCCTCTACCTTTGGGTTGGAAGTGGCTGATGTGGGAGAGAATCAGAGGGACTTGCTGGGAACACTGGTTTTGAAGCCTGATTCAGATTTTGCTGCTGTGGCTGGGGATGGAATGGAGCATTATATGTATTGTTAAATATGCTTTCTTTAATTATGTTTTAGATTTATATTTATAATGAGAAGATAGTGAATGGACATCTGCAGCCTAGCCTGGTGGACCTCTGTGCTGCTACTGCAGGCCTGGATGATAAGGTACTGCCAATAAGTTAACATAAGGAAATGTATTTAAGCTGTTTTCAGGCTGTGATTAACAGCCTGCTGACATCAGGGGGGAAAATACTGATATTGCAAAAAAAAAAATTGCATGGCTCCACAGAAAACACAGAGGCAATAGTGGAATTTTCTCCAGTGCAGCAGGGCCCACCTGCCATGAAGTTGGTCATGGTGAAAGTTTCTTAACACAGTGAGGAAGAAATGAACCTGCTGTCCCATCATAAGTGATAAGCTGTTGAGGGGAAAATTGCTTTTAATTTAAAATACATTCTGTGTTAATTTACAAAGTGTGGCCTCTTAATGTCCTTTGAAAGTATGTACTTGGGGGTAAAAGGTTCTTCACTCAGACTGTGCTGGAGCTTAAACAGGCTCTCATAGCAAAGCATAAAACCCCTAGGATTGACTTAAAATCAATGATCTGCCTACTTTCCTTTTTTTCTATTCCTTTAATTGTGTTGCCTTGATTCACCCTAAAAAAGAAAACAAATGCACAAACCTTGGAGAAATGCCTGGAGGAGAATACTGCAGCAGGGTCAAGCTATGAAAAAACTGTGCAAATGGGGAGAGCAAAAAGCTGCTCAGAAGCTGAGGGGCAAACCCTTCAATTGGATCTGAATGACAGATGTGCATCTTCACTCTGAGCAGCTCTGTTTGTTTTGCAAGGGGCAGCACGGGGAGTTTCAGTGTTCTTGCTGCTTTGAAGCACTGAGATCAAAGAGCTGCCCTTGCCCAAGTGAACAGTGCTGTTAGTTCTCAGTATTTTGCCATTTCAGCAGGGATGCCCTAGTCCTGCAAACACTGATATGATCTTGTCCTTGTGAATGAACAGATCTGGATGGTTTTCAACCTTTCTTTATAACTGAGCCTTTGTCCAAATGATCAGTATCCTTTTAATGCTTCTTATCACAGCTGATCACACAGCTTTCCAACAGCAGCCAGAGCCATTGCTTACATGGAAAGCTGATGATGCAGTGGTATATATGGACTGGGAAGTGTGAACTAGAAATGAGCAAGAGACTGAGGACCAAGTTACCCAGCCTAGTTTTGGACATAGTTGTCAATTTTTGGGTACAATTGCAGGTACAACATTTATAGCCTGTGAAACTTGAATTCTGTGGGACAGAAGCAGCTTACCTTCATGACTGTGTCCAGTATCTGCATTACAAATCTAAACTGACATGAATTACTCTGTGTTCTTATGCTTTTCTTAAGCCATCAAAACACGATGTAGCTTCAAAACAGTGTTGCTTGTTCATCTGTGTACTAATTGCTGAGGCATGGGATGACTTTTTGCAGGAACATCTCCGAGATGTGGGCCATGGTGAAACAATGACCGACGTCACCCTGGTTCCTGCCAGCGATGCCCTGAAAGTCCGGACCAACATGGAAGTGCGCATGGAGTTCGTGAGGCACGCTCTGCACTACCTGGAGGAGAGGTGAGAGGGGTGCTCTGAGTACACATTGACAGAGCTCCCTAATAAGAAACCAGAATGACTTTGGAGTGCACTTAAAGAGTCAGCTACGCACAGACATGTCTCTTGCCTGCCTTTTTTATTGTGCAGGGCTTAGAGCAGCCACTTAAATAAAAAATTGTTCTAGTTTAACAGTGTTCTAGTTTAAAAGGCCTTGAATCCGTGGGGAGGTTGTTTAGAAGATGTAAAGACTTCTTTCTTCTGTGTCGCTTATAAATATTCTATATATGTACAGTGATATGTGAAGGTTTTTCACTTGAGGAGAGTGATCTGTTTCTCTTCTGCAAAAGAACATCTCTTTTCTATATGCCCCTTTCTGATTGCTGGTTGCTGTCCAGCAGCCCATGAGGACAGCATGGGAACAAACCTTGGTGCAATGAGTCAAGTTCTGATAATGCCATTTCTACACTGAAAAGTTTTTGGAAAATGTGAAGAAGCTGAAATTGAGACATGTAGCAGTGATTTTCAGACTGTAGAAAGTGGTTTGCTGTGTTTATTAGCAAGTACCATGGGGGCCTAAGCTCCTTGACCAATGGAGTTCTTGGAGAACTGCAGGGTGTGAAGCTGCCCAAAGCCAAATGCCCATCCACTGCACATGTGGGTGGATATTGCAGTCTCTCTTTTCTGGTGGCTGCAATGTGATGCCAGCTGCTTCTTCCAGCCTGTGCAAGCAGTAACTGCAGAGTAGTATGTGGGCATTTGTTAGGGACACATATTGCATCAGAGCACGGAAAGCACTGCACTCTGACACAGCACTGTGGGAGAGGTGCTTTCACCTCCTGGCACAGCCTCTTCTTGGCCCTGGCAGTTGGTTGTCACACCCCATCAGCGCTCAGTGTCACCCAAGAGTGGTGGCAGCTGCCGCCTGTGCACAGAGGAGCTGACACATCAGAAGGATCTTCTGTTCCCAGTTCCTCAGTCTCAGCAGAGTGCAATGAGCCAGTGACTCTTAACCTGATTTGCCACATGTCCAACTTGCTAAATGTTCACAGTGCCATTAACTGCTAGCTGAAGTTAGGAGTTAGTTATATGTATTACTTTCCCAATGCTCCCAATTGTGGAGATTGGGCCTCTCAGGCTTGTTGGGTTTTTTGGTAATTAAAACCTTGCCCAAACTCTGTGCCTTGCTTCATAGCTTTTCTTCACTGGTGGGAATTGGCTAATACTAGAGTGTTTCCAAGCTTCACCAGCCCCTCACTCATATATGGAAGAGATATAATGCCGCTCACAGCTGTTTACACATTAGTTCCTTTGGAACAACTGTGATCTTAAGCCCTGAGGAACATGCACTTGCCTCAGCCATAATTCTCATTATCAAGATACTCTGATACCTACTTATGTAGTCTTTCAGATTTCTGATGGCACACCAGTGTAATGTGCCTCAGAAAAAGGAAAAGAACTTAATGTCATTAATTGATGCTGCTTACTTAGGTCTTCCTTCAGTGTACAAATTTTTGAGACTCCTGCTTCTAAGCATGCGTATTTGTTAAATTGATCTGCCTTGATTAAATGCTTTGATGGGTTATTTTAAAACATTTTCTTAAAGCTGCCTTTACCAGTTATATTTCTCTAAATTCCCTTTTTCTCTGGGATTTTCTTCTGGTAAGTACATAGCCCTAAGGCTGATATTTTTCCATAGAGCAGGGAGGAGAGACAAACACATCTGTGGTATTTAACTATTCTTTCACGATTGAGAGTTAAAGTATTAGGGTGAAAGGCTTTTTACCAGTTAATATATATTTGAGCTTACCTTTGTACTACTAAGTACTAATCTAATAAGAGGAACTTCATAATTGAGAGTTGAACCTGGAGCAGTCCACCACAGACTCCAAATCTGATGTCTTCTGAGACTGCTAAATACAAGGATCTTCCTAGACTGACCAAAATTTGTGCCTCTTTTTGTTGTAATGATAATGTTTGAACATGGAGTTAATTTGCTTTAAATTGTTAGTTCTGTCAGGTCGGAAGGCAGTGGATGTTTTTGTGGCAGGTGTGTCTCAGTCTGTTCATTTTTTGCTTGTGTTATGTTTCAGTTACAAAAATTACACTTTTGTGACAGTCTTTGGAAACTTGCACCAGGCTCAGCTGGGTGGAGTCCCAGGCACCTACCAGCTGGTCCGCAGCTTCCTGAACATCAAACTCCCAGCGTCCGTCCCTGGTCTGCAGGTATGGGCAGCACTGTCACCCGCTGGGCTAAAATAACACAAACCTGTTCACCCACTGCAGAGGGGAAACCAGGGCAGCCTCAGGTGGCTTTTCTGTTGTTTAAGCTGCTTTTAGGGCATCAGGCTCTTTCTCCTTCTCTAGAATTTTTGACTGGGAAAATGGGAGATGGCAGGCAAAATCACTCTTGAGTTCAGACCTAGTCCCAAAGCATGGTGGGTGCTCAGAAGCTTGAGTTCTAATTCTAGAAATCATGGGGTCTTCTGGTCGTCATCTTAGAAATCAACAAGCAAGGATTAAAATGCATTATGATGGTTCAAAAAAAGCAGTAACTTAATCTCCCTCTTTTGCTTTTTCTCTTTTTTTACGTTTATTGTCAGATGGTGAAACCATCACCAAATGTGTAATGATTTCATCTAAATTTTAGCCTGGGCCTTTTATTTAGGAATCTGAATAAAACCCTTCTTACCTTCATGTAGTAAAAAGTGCATAGCTGTGCATCTACAAAATAATCAGATAGGCAGTCTGGGTTGAAAAATCAGATATAAAAGTTAAATGAAGAAATAATTATAACATTGGAGTGCACACAGCTAAGTCTGGCTGTCTCTTCTTACCTGCTAAGATCAGTGATTAGTTTGATATCTTTCTGTTTCAGTGAAAATGTTTTTAATACCTCCGTGGCCTAATCCAGATCAATCTCCTTTGTGGAGAGGATATCATATGCTAAATACTGGGATTCTCAGAACTGAAATCTGGGCAAGCAGAAGAGAATCACACCTTTCACTGCTGAGATGTGCAGAGCTTTGCCAGGTTTTAACCCTCATGACCTCTGGCTTCTGTAACAAACAGAATTTTTTACCAATATGAGTGTGGGTATAAGGGCAGAAATAATGGATGAGGCAGAGGATAAAGAAAAATCATTCAAATATGTTGCTTTTGAGAAAAAATTAAGTAAGTCCTACTTTCTTTTCAGGATGGTGAGGTGGAGGGCCATCCTGTGTGGGCACTGATTTACTACTGCATGCGCTGTGGAGATCTGACTGCAGCCATGCATGTGGTGAAACGGGCACAGCACCAGCTGGGAGAGTTCAAAACCTGGTTCCAGGAGTACATGAACAGTAAAGACAGAAGGTAATTGGGAACTAGGAAGGATCTTTGTGAGGGGTGGGAATTGCTGTGGAGTAGTGAAATTATCAGTGATTTGGTAGAAATACAAAAAGCTCAAGTCTCCTCTGGTGGTGATGGTTGCCTGAGGTTTATATTACCTACCTAAATTACATGTAGAAGTTTGCATATTTTAATTTGTGGCTTTGAAGTTGAGAAATCTCAACAGAGAAAGAGTTGTTTGAATATATTAAAAACTTTACATTTCAAATATAATACAATATGGTGTAGCTTTACTATTTTACAGAAGGATTAACCCAGTGTAACAGTGGTGTATGGTATGCAATAGATCGGATTTAATCTTCTGTCACGAATCCTGTATTTTTTTATTTCCCATTGCTTATTTTAGCTGAATTTCCTTTGGGGAACACTTTTTACTACACCTGTTTTCATAAGAATGCTACACAGGAAAAACAAGCAGTGTTTGTTAGAGCCCTTTAAAGGCCTCACTCTCATATCTTTCTTGTGTTTATTCTCCTCTTCCAGTTTTTGCTGTCCAGCACTAGACAAAAGCCTTTGGCCAAACTGCTGCTGATGTGGTTGCAAAGTGGTTAAGCTAGTGCACCCTAAGGTGTGTTCCAAACTCCACAGTGGTTTTCTTTTCCATCTTTTCCATTTGCAGCGAATTTCAAAAAAAAACCCCAAAAACTCAAAAACCAACAAACATAGCAATTAAAAATAACTAACAAAGCTAACAAAATAAATGGAAAGGATAAAAATCCAAGTGCTGTTTACCAAGTATGGTACGCCATGGTATTCTTCTATAAATCAACCTGTTTTGTAGAGAGTATGTAGGAGAGCTCATTATATCAAGGTTGTTGCAGAAACCTTGTTGAAGATACTGTCACTGTTTTCATTACAAACACTTTTATGAGATACAGCACAATAGCTTTATTTTGTTTTTATTCCAGCTATGAAAAAGTGCTCTGCCTACAGATTTGACAAACAATGCCTTAGTCTAGAATATGTTATTGATTAAATTCTGTGAATTTCTCAACAAGAGGTTGCAAGAAAAAAAGTGACAAAGAACATTATGACAGTGTTTGATAATGATGAAAGTGTCTCTCCTGAAGGACCTCATGGTACCATGACCTACTCACTTGTTAGCTCCTAACACAAAGACTTACAAAGATTTTGTGAGCTCTCTTTTTCTGAAATGATGCAATAGCAGAGTCAGACGAAAATAGCTCATCTGCCACAGTATTATTGTACCCTAAAGAGACTGTCATATGTAGATTCTTTCTCTACAGTGAGCATTTGAAGATGATCCCCCATAACTCTATGTGTATAAATTCATGTGTGCATAATTTTTACCTACAGATTTGAACTGGAAGTACAAGAAATATGGCCAGTGCTTACTGTCGTTATGCCTTTACTGTGGATATACACTTATTTACACTGATTTGTATCCTGGTTTCCTCATACAGGGAAAATGGGTATCATGTCTTTTCCTTCAATCTTTTCTTTTCCTTAGATTGTCTCCTGCCACAGAAAATAAACTGCGTCTTCATTACAGACGAGCTCTGAGAAATAACACTGACCCCTACAAAAGGGCTGTTTATTGCATTATTGGCCGTTGTGACATTACAGACAACCAGAGTGAAGTTGCTGATAAAACAGAAGATTATCTTTGGCTAAAAGTAAGTCTGGTGTTGGGATTGTGGTGTTCGGTTTTTCTTTTTGTAAGAACAGGTCTAAATGGTACCAAATTTCTCCACTGCTCTGCTACCCTTCCTACTTCTAGATCTGGTGTTTTGCATCAATGTAGTGCATGTGACCTGACCTTGAAAATAATGCAGGACTGGGAACCTGAATCCCAGGGCTGTTCTGTTACCCTCTGTGCTATCAGGTGTTAGTTTGGGTACAGTTGTCTTTGGAACTGTCATGTTCATTTGACACTGATCTTTGTCACCTGTTTTTACGAGTAGTATTACCTTGCTAGTGAGGATTCTTTGAATTCTCCTTCCTGGATGGATGTCTGAAATGTCAGTGTGAATTGACCAGACACAACACTGTCAATGTCACTGAAGTCCTTACAGTTTTGGCAAGGGCACGATAGATACTGGTTGGTGCCTGTTTCTCCTCTTTGTCAGAAGAAAGGTGGTAGAATGATGTATTTGTTACTGTTGTATTTGTGGCAAAAAAAATGCTGCTTGAGAGTGTTCAGAGTCCCAGCATCAGAGTTTGCTGGCATGGATGGATATGGATCCCCAGGGTTATATCTGCATGGATTTTAGCAGTTGCTGCCTTAGAGACCTTTGCTTCCCAGCAGTGGATGGAGCTGATGCTGTGACTAGATGCAGTTTCTAGTCAGCTGGTCAAATCCTAGGGCGGGGGGCTCAGATGGAATGAATATCTTCTGAGTGCATTGCTTGTGCAAGGAGAAATACCTGTGCTTCTCTTTTTTGGATGTGCTTTTTAGCTGAACCAAGTGTGTTTTGATGATGGTGGCGCGAGCTCCCCGCAGGACCGGCTAACGTTATCTCAGTTCCAAAAGCAGCTGCTGGAAGACTATGGTGAGAAACCACAGAGGGATGTCTTACCTGGGGCTCTGCTTTTCTGCTGAGGACACTTTCCAGTTGTTATTACACAAACCCCAGACTACACAAAAACCCTGCAGCTCTCCACTAGTGACAGGCATCTTCTGTCCATGAACAGCCTGCTCCCTGGAGTTGTGGCAGACTTCAGTAAGACACAATGAATGAGTCCCATGTTTTTGCCAGCAATCCAGAGATTTAATACTCATCTGTGAACAGCACTGCTGCTGTTTCTCCTTTATCCATTTATTGTGGGTTGTTTTCTCTCACCATAAATAGGCAAAAGTTCTTTAGCAGAACTTCCAGCTTTGGAAATACAGAACAGAAAAGCAGTCAATACCTAATGTAGGCATGTATTTCCAAGCCTTTCCTCTGTGTGCATCTGGTGTTTATCTTTTCCCTTAAATTAGCATTTCAAGCAAATTTCTGGGGACCCAAGTCACAATTCCTTCTATTTCAGAAGGTTTTAAGAACATCCACAGAATACATATTCCTGTAATTGTCTTCCAGTCAGTCAAAATTCAGTTGCTTGGAACTGTCCAAAACAAATTTGATTCTCCACAGCCTTCTAGTTTGTAGTATCACTCACACTCAGATAAAAATGTGTGGAAAAGAAATATAATAAGTTACTGTCTGTGTCACTGGGTAGAAATATCCAGTTTTTTTACATTATTTGTACCACTTGGCATAAGTGTAAATGAAGACAAAAAGTTATGGTCTTCAGAGAATCTATCACAGTTGATCAGAGTTCATGGTTTGTTGTCTGAAAACAACAAAGGAACTTTTCTGAGTAACTGTTTATTCTGTTTCACTTCTTGAATATGTCTTTATGCTGTGGTCCTTCATGATAAATCTGCAGTGGCACAGTTGTAGGTGAGCCACTGAAATGTGGTTATTCAGTTTTGTGTACTGTGTTTATTTTGGCTGGCACCTAATAAACAATAACAATGCAGTGTGACAGGAAGCATCTACTGTCAGTCATCTCTGATTCCAAAATGATGAAAATGATGTGAAAATGCTACGTGCTGTGGTTTTTTTCAGGTGAATCACATTTTGCAGTGAACCAGCCACCGTTCCTCTACTTCCAAGTGTTGTTCTTGACAGCACAGTTTGAAGCTGCAATTGCTTTTCTTTTCCGGACAGAGCGCTTGCGCTGTCACGCTGTTCATGTTGCTTTGGTCCTGTTTGAGTTAAAATTGCTCCTGAAAGCATCTGGGCAGAGTGCACAACTATGTAAGTCCTATTTACTTTACAGTAAAGGAATATTTTCTTAGCCCTCAGAGTGCCCTCTAGAAGCGGCAGCTCTGTGTGATTAATCAAAGATTTATCAGAACAATCTCATAAAAATTAATTGTTTTAGTTGCATTAGAGCTCTGGATCATGGTTCTGACTAATTTGAGCATTTTCCTGGCATTAGATTCTCTGACAGTGCTGTTTCTGACATTGCAGTAAGCCATGAAGCTGGTGACCCTCCTGGTGTCAGACGTTTAAATTTTGTGCGGCTTTTGATGCTTTACACCCGTAAGTTTGAATCAACAGATCCACGGGAAGCTTTGCAGTACTTTTACTTTCTCAGGTAGGAGCTAATATATGTCTTTAGATATTCTCCTAGTTATTATTGCTTCATTAGTCTTACCTGGAAAGTTCTCAGAAACAGGAGTACCTTTCTCCCTCTCTTTATTTTTAGGAACGAGAAGGACAGCCAAGGAGAGAATATGTTCTTGCGTTGCGTTAGTGAAATAGTAATTGAAAGCAGAGAGGTGCGTTTGGCCATGTTTTGCCTTCCTCAATTAAACTAAAAGTAATTTCTTCTTTAAAATCTTTATTAGTCAGGACAGTCTTAGAGTTGCTTACTCTTTCTGCCTGATGCAGACCCAGATGAGAGATCTTGCAATGGCCTTATGTTTAAGACATTTAATCATACTTTTTTGCCTGTTATTTAGTTACAAATACTTTTTATATTGGTCACTGTTTTTCATTCCATGACTGTGTCTTTGTACTTAATAAATATGTTATGAAATATGTGCAATTCATCTCTCTATTTTTGTTTCCTGTTTTTTCTAACTTTAAATCCACGTGGATATAGTTTGATATGATTCTTGGAAAGTTGGAAAAGGATGGTAGTAGGAAGGTAAGTTCACAATTTATATTTTATATTAAAAGTACCATCAATATATGATTTCCAAAGTAGTCATGAGGCTATTTTGCTTCTCTCTGTTTTCCACTAGCTAAATTATTACTGTGTTTGAATACATTCAAGTTCTCCCACTTGGAGATCCTTTCACAGAATAGTCTGTGACCTGCCCTAACAAAAGGCAGGTCAGGAACTTCAGGGCAAACAGTGTTCCTCTAAACAGCTGCTGTAACTGAGGAAGCAAATGGCATCAGGTAACTTTAGTGAGTTCAGAATTTTGTCTTCCCAGGAGGAAATGGAGTTTAGTTTAAGTGGGTGTGTGAGAGTGCTCTGTTAACCAAGGTGTGCATGTGAAAATGATTTATGACATCCTCACTCACCTCGCAGAAAAAATGTATTGCAGTCCTTGAAAAATCCTTGTAATTAAAGGAGCAAGGGCTAACAGACCACGAGCATAGGCACAGCTGATCTGACCGTCACACAGGTGAGAGCAAGTACTGGATAAAAGTTCAGCCATTTTTAGATGACGGATGTTGCTTCCAGTGTAAAAGCAGTTTCATAATAGTAAAATAGAAGATTACACAGAAGACAAAGGAAACCTTAAGGTTTTACCTGCAAACAGGAGAGTGCATGCAAATTATGAAAATTTTAGATAATAGATGAAGTTTTGTGTTTGCTGTGATAGCTTTGGAAGATTTCTGTGTAAAGCAGACTGCAGAACCATTTGCATCTCAATGTTAAGATTAGGGCTCATATTGCTGTCAAAAATAGAGGGGGAAAGTTATTTCTGGCAGGAATTTCTTTTAGATGTCTTTATTTTTTCATTTCAAAAGCAGTGAGATTGCATACAAGAGAACAAGGTAGCTTGATAATCTTTACAAATACTTTGTTGTTTTGCACTTTCTTTGGTGTGAAACCAATAATCTTAAGTTTAAAACAAATTCTTCTAGATTATATAGTCTCCTTTTTGCATCCTCAACTACAGTAATGTCCAGATATTCTTGACTCTTTCATCTCTTTTATTCTACATGTTTAATATTTGTTTTAAAATTCTTGTTGCCCTTTCATTTATCTGTGTGAGATTTCCCTGGCAACCTGTCATGCCAGTATAAACAAACTCCATCCCTGGAGCCTTTGGAATGCTATGTGCTGAAGTCTTTTGTGTTTTCTTCTCTGTGTCTTCAGCAGTTAACAGCTCAAACTCTGAGTTATTTTATCTGGGTCATTTTGAATGAATTGGAAACCAAGAATGTCTCAGTGCTGACTCCATTTAGGAGAGAGTCCCTCTTGGAAGAACGCATTCTATTTTTAATGTCTCACTTTTGCACATTCCCGTGGAAATGTACAGGCCATTCCAGTCATAAGCCAACATGTAAAATATTCATTGCCTTGACAGAATATTCTGGAGTGTTTGAGCCTTCTGATTCCTCTTTTCTCTTTTCATTTTTGTCTCACCTCTTTAGCCTGGAGTGATAGACAAGTTTACAAGTGACACAAAATCCATTATTAACAAAGTGGCTTCTGCAGCAGAAAATAAAGGATTGTTTGAAGAAGCCGCAAAACTCTATGACCTTGCAAAGGTATATGTCTTGTGTGCTGCCTTATATACTTGGTTCACCTTTTTTCCTTCCAAACATTCTACCTGTGATTAGGAGGTTAAATTTCATCTCGGAGATTGAATTGCCCTTATTCAAGCAGCTTATTTCTACTGCTGGAACAACAGAGCCATAAGGCTGCATGAAGAGATGTTTTAGTTAGCACATCCAGATGGATTGCACTCCAGGGATTCTGATTTAGGACATTGTGGTCCTTATCAATGTGCTATTTTGAAGAGAGTGCCCCACGCATGATTTAATTCAGTCTAGTGCAGTTATTTACCTGGAGTGTACTCTTCCAATTTCATAGATATTGAACTGAAGTCTAAAATAGTTGGTCTTTATACTGAGTACTCTTGTTTCCTTTGGAAATAGAGGTGGATACAACCATAACCACTATTTTAGAGAAAAACTAGGGGGAAATGCTTTTTCTTGGGACCCAGCAGCATTATGTTGTTTGTAGCTAATGTGATCCTGACTCATTATGGGAGGGAGGTGGCTCTGGGCTTACAGTAGACACCACTGCATGAGACTTCTCTGCTTTTTCAATGAGAGTAAGACACCATGTTTCATTTTATTTGTGTAACTTTAATGCCAACAGAACCCTGACAAAGTTTTAGAACTGATGAACAAGCTCCTTAGTCCAGTTGTTCCCCAGATCAGCACTCCCCAGTCAAACAAGGAGCGTTTGAAGAACATGGCCCATTCCATTGCTGAGAGGTAAGACTCAGGTAAGGGCAGGACTGGGTGATTCACCTCAGCATGACCTGCCACTGTCAGAGCTGTGGATGTTAGTGGATGTTAGTCCCTGATGTTGTTTCTGCAGGCTGGACTGTGGCATCCACAGCAGTATACTTAGAAAGACAACAAAGGGGTCAGAATTTACACTGTCCTGTTTGTGATGGCTTGCAGTACTGAAACCAGAAATCTTCAGGGTCAGGCAAATTTGGCAAGAAGTTTTATCTGTCGGTAAATCAGGATTGCCAGCTGGAGTTGGAGTCTGTTATGGAACAATAAATACATTAATTGTATGTTTTATATTATTTTTAAAACAAAATATTGTTATAGTTGCTGAGTCATTGCATGCAATTCACTTTTTTGAAATAGTATTAAGAGAGAGCTACAAACCCAGTAATTCTGAGTTGTAACAACTGTTCAGTAGCTTTCTGAAAACTGTTGTTTTAATGAAGGCTAAAAAGGGAGTATTTAAGATGAACTGTGTATGGCTAATGCAAGCAGTGGACCTCATTTCCACAGCCTGTTATGTTAACGCCAAGTACTCTGTGGTGTCCAGAAAGAAAGGAAGCAACTGAAAGGAATGTGCCCTGCCGTGTCTGTATACTAATTAGGGTATGGGCTTGAGAGACATCAGTGCTGAAGGTTCATTAACAACTGGAACTTAGGATTAACCTGATTCTGAAAAGCTGTAGTTGCAAAATATGTCCATTAATTTCTTAAATAGTCACCTTTTGGTGCATCTTGTCACGGTGACTGCCAGGAACAATTCTTGTGTTTTACTAGAACAAAATGTGGATTCCTATGAGAAATGCCTTACTGGTTTTTATCAACATTGAGCTGCAGAGAGAATAAAAATAAACCAAGCCCACTTGCTGGCACTTTGAAATTGGGAAGACAAATACAGAAATGTATTGATTTCCATCAGAGGCCTTTTCCTTTCTTCTTTTGACAAGTGGCATTTGCCAGTCCCTCCTTCTAGTCAGCCTTTCCTTCATTTGGGCAGGCTGGGATCAAGTGCAAAATCGGTGCCATATTGACTTGGTGAGAGACTGATTTGGTGGCAGACATTAAAGAGAATTAAGTCTATGGCTTGAGTTAAAGCTTCAGCAAAGGCTGCAATGGGATTTTTTTTGCTTTGCTACATACTTTGATCTGTCTGAAAGCACTAAAATATTGCTGTACAATTATGCCACTTCACAGCTGCAAACCTGGGTGATTGCAAAGCCAGAGCAGCTCTGACTAGCACATCTTCTTTCCAGTTAGATGTAACACAGGGCTTTTCCATGTGTACTGTCCTGTAGGGATGCAGCATTCCTCCTGTGTATTCTTGTTATGCTTTTGGAGCAGGGGAGACACCTTAGAAAAAGGCCAAGAGCCTACATGGTTTCCTCATCTGCAAGACCACTCTTGTGGAAACAACTTTTTTGTGCCCTCATGCAGTTAGGAGTGGGAGCAGGCAGCCCTCCAGTTCATCCCAGAGCCAGTGTAGCTCCCAAGAGCATGCAGGAACTCTTAATCCATCTTTTAAGTCTTAACTTTTTGCCTGAAGCAGGCAGTTGTGCTGGAGGATTGTCTGCTGTAAAGCAGCATGTTAAACATGCTGGTACAGAGCTTGCCTTGCAGGTCTCTGCTGCCTGGCACTGTTTCCCCATGAATGTGGGAGTGCAAACATTTTAAAGGAAATAAATGCTGGATTTGCAAAACTGGAAGTGATTAACAGTGTTTTTAAAAAGCCACAACCTGTGAAAATTCTGCCTCCTGGTTAAGGAAAATGAAAGTTGTCCTTTGTTAAATGCCCTGTCCTTGAGTTTGATGTCTCCACTTCCAAGAATTGCAAGGGCACAGTTGTAAATGGTTGCCATTTTGCACAATAAAATTGTAACACAATTTCTTTCAGGTACAAAGCGCAGGGGATAAGTGCAAAGAAATCCATTGACTCCACGTTCTACCTTCTGCTAGACTTAATCACGTTTTTTGATGAATATCACGCTGGTCACGTTGACAGGGCCTTTGATGTAAGTTTTAAGAGTTCTGTTTGAAGTGTAGCCTTCCTAATGCCCTTGAAAACCCAGAATGTCTCAAATAACATCACTTCAAAAATTTTATTTAATGAGTTAGAAGGGACTGCAATGTTATAGGAATTTTAAAAGGTGTTTCTTCCCTGTTGCTTGATAAACAGGATGATCTTCCTGGAGCTACTTTTTAGACATTGAACAAAATATTCCTGTTGCTCAACAAAGTGAGGAGATAAACCAGTAAATGACAATGAAATTATTTCTCTTGAATGGAAACAGAAGCATTTCATTAACATTTAAAAAAAACACTTTATTAATATATGGTACATAGAATGCTGATTATCTGTCCTGATTCCTGCTTTTCTTTTTGAAGATTATTGAACGCCTGAAGCTTGTACCTCTTAGCCAAGATTGCGTCAAGGAGAGAGTCGCTGCCTTCCGGAATTTCAGCGATGAAGTAAGTAATGTCTTGGGTTTAGCTTCCTAAAGCCTTTTGCTTTGTTAAAAGGATCTTAAAACCTTGTAATCTCATCATTCTTATTCTTTAGCGGAGAAAAAGGATGAGATTTTTTTTTTATTTCATACAAGTATACTCTTGGCTTGCAACTTTTTCTTCTTAATGCTGCTCTTTTGAGCACTAGAATTCCCTACCCAGAAATCCTGTCTCCATTTTGAAGAAAGTATCTGCAGATGTGAGTCTCCCTGAACTTAGTGAGTTTCATTCAAGAATTCAGAATACTGAAAACTTTTGACTTGCTGGTGACTTAGTTCTTCTGTGCTCTTAATGGTCACTAAGCATTTGTAGGTTGTTTGTTTCTTTCCCTCTAAATTACAGGAATTAATGGATTTGTGTATTAGCAAATGAAGCATAGTGGAAAACTGGTACTGCTATTGAACTGTTTTAACTGGAGTGACACTTCTTTTTTCGGCAGTGGTTGTGTGTATTTGGGTGCTTTGGGTTTTATCTGACCTGCTGCTATCAAACATGAAGGTGCAGCCATTGGGCATGTCTGTCTCAAAGCTCTGGGTAGTGTTTCTGCTGGATGGTGCAGTCATAGCATTACACCTATGACTGTTACAGAAATCTGTATAGTAAGGGTTATGGTCAATCTGCTTATGCTGCAATGTCTTTTTTCCCCCCTTTTTTGTGTAGATCAAACACAATTTATCTGAGGTCCTGCTTGCAACCATGAATATTTTATTCACCAAGTATAAGAGAATGAAAGGCACAAGCCCAACCACTCCTGCCAGGCCCCAGCGGGTAATGGAAGACAGAGATTCGGTAAGAATATAATTCTTACTGTCTGACAGGTTTTCCTATATCTTATTCTGCTGGTTTCAAGAGATTGGGCTTCAAGTAACTGTCAATCTCTAATGGTCTTGGTTTTGACTTGCTCAGTTACTTAGAGTTTTGGTCTACTGAGCTTGTCCAGTAACTTAGTCTCAAGGCTGGTCTCTGATGCCTTCAGCTTTGTGTAAAGAAAGGTTGGAACTGGGTGATCTTTGAGGTCCCTTTCAGCCTAAACCATTCTGAGTCTAAGATATTGCTTTAAATTACATTGAACTAATGTAATTTATCTATATTTACCTCCTAGCAAGAGAAAACAAGTGTCCACATTCCTTCTTAGGGGAATCTTAGATACTAAAGCAAATGGGAGCAGTGCATTCTCTAGGGTGGTTGATGTTGCTGTTTTGACAACCGAGCTGTTGCTTTTTCAGCACCTGATTGCCACTCCTTTCATGTGAGTAAGTGCCCATTTCTGGTAGAAGGGCCTTCCTTGACTCTTCCCCTCAGCTTGCTTCTGTAGTGATGCAGGCCAACATTTTCCTTGCTCTTGGGTGAAACACCAAGATGCTGGAGCACACCCCCTTGGTGAACACCAGCATTGTTCTGCTGCCCCTGCAGGGAGTGGGCAGCTTGCAGCTTGGTCTGGCTGCTGTTGCAGCTTGCAGCAGTCTGGCTGCTGTTGAAATGCATGACCGCAGTGGGTTTGACTTCACTGCTTGAGCTGGTGCAGAGGCATTTCCCCGAGCCACTGATGGGAGTCTCCACCTCCAGCAAGCTGCAGAATAGGCAGCATTTAAATGGCACAGCCAGATTTGTGAGCACTCACCTGCCAACATGTGGGGCTGAGCAGAAGGGTTCACAGCTTAATTCTACTAAGTTTTGGTCTTGTAACTCTTAAGTTAAAGCTGCTGCAGGCGCTTGAAACCAAGGCCAAACCATTCATCCTGTCTTAACAGATTAGAAAATAAATATCAACTCCTTTTGAGAGTGGAAAACCAACTTGGGCCATAGCCAGCTTTATTCCAAGCTTTAGTCAGCTACATAAAGGCCTTTGATCTGTAAATTGTAATATTGGTAAAAGTTTTAGTAGCATTTTTAAATTACACAGGAAAATAAAAGGCTTAGGTGATGGTACAGCTTTTATCTTGGGGCTCAGCCTGCAAGAGCTACGGGATCCTGCCTCACAAGGGTGCTTGTACTCCAGGTCAGCAGCACTGGAGATGGGTACACACTCCCACCTTAAACTCTGCACGTGTGGAGAAGTCCCAGGCCAACACAATCTGTAATTACCTTCTGTGTGTCTTCACAAGGTTGGCACTGAGAAAGGAGTGCCTTAGCTTCTTGCTTTCCAAGTGAGGTGTTTTGATTTTGTGATTTCAGTCTTATGCCTCATGTAGAAGGATTTACCATCTCCATAGGGGTGGAGTGCTGTGAGGTGCCAGCTCAGGATGAATACCGTGGGCTGACTGGGGATGGGATTAGAGCTTTGCTGGCAGAGGTTTGTGTGGAAGGAGGCCACCAGGATACTGTATCATATCCACAGTGTGTTTAGTGTGAGCACTTCTTCATAAATGTGCTCTGCACTCTCGGGTTATCACAGTTGTGGAGATGAACTGATGTCGTACCTTGCTAAAAGCTCTTGAAAGTTTTCTTTATTTCAGACTTCAAGTTTTGTTAATCAAGCTCCAGGCCTTGTGATGGGATCTCATGGCAGCAGGGTGTCAGTGATGTTGGGAGCGCACGGTTTCTGAGTCACAGATCTTTGGCTGCCATGTGCAGTACAAGCTGTGCTTTGCCATCAAAGGGGACAAGTGTCCACTGCATCTGCTCTCAGGGAGAGGGGATAAGGGAACAGCTATGTGACTGGAGTGTCACAAGGGAGCATAAATCTGCAAATGTAGGATTAGCAAGAGAAAATTCCTACCACCCTGTGGCTCCCATCTGCCTAAAGATTTGCATGTGCAAAAATAATAGCAGACATGAGCACATGGAAGGTGGGTAAGAATGGCTTTAGCATGTGCTATCCTTTTTTCTTACCCTGAAGAATTTCTTCCAAGACTGCAGGAGCAGGGAATTTAGATTGTTTCAGTTGAGAGGCAACTCAGGCAATTTTAGTGGTGTGAAGAAATGAAGGCAATACAGGTGAGGAGATGAGGTGTTCCTTCAGCAAAATCTCATTCACCTGGACAGAGATGGCAGACATGAGCTTCAGCAGGCTGTGCATGACAAGAATTTGTCTCCTGAACTTCCCTGAGAGAAAGGCAGTTTTTCCATATTCTCCGGGGAAGCAAATTTATGGGGAAATCAGACCCTTTCAGCAGCTTTAACAGTCTTGGTACATTGCCCAGTGGACAACAAAGGTGAAATTACCTTTCCTTGAACAGATTGTTTAAATCCCTGGCTTTTCTTTTGATCCGTCAGAACAGGCAGATTCGGATCCCTCTGTTCATCAGAAGAAAAGATAGTTGCTGTTTGTAACTCTGAGGTTTATTCTACATAGCAGGGAGCAGCATCCCCCAGAGAGGAAACCAGAGCCCTTGAATGTGCCTCTGGTGCCAAGCACGGCTCTGCCGAGCACCCTGAGCAGAATTCTGCTGCCATGGGTGGGACTTCAGCAGGAACAGCACAGGCCTGGCAGCAGGGGCAGGATGGAGGGGAGTGGTACTGCTGGAGCCCCCTGGAACCCAGTAATCCCCTCTGCAAAACATCTCCTGTCCACTTCGGAGCTGGACTAGAAAAGATCAGATCTGGGGTCAGAGCTGGCATTTCTGCATTGTGTTCATTTCAGAATTAAATCACCCAAGCTATGTTTTGGGTATTTTTTTCTTTTATGTATATAATTAATTAGTTTTGGGAATAAGGGAACAAAGTCATGTCCCACTAGGCCTGATCCATTTTGTCAGATTTCAGGCAGAGGTTGCAGGTAGCCCAGCCTGCAGTCCTGGAAACCATGACTGTGGTGACAACCCTGGCCAGGATGCTGTGAGTGCATGACAGCAATGTCATAGGCTACTCACCCCAGTCAGGGGTGGTGAACTCTCTGGAGCAGCCCAAGGGCATTATCTTGGCAAAATTAGGTCATGAATGGAATGGAATTAATTTTTTTTAATTATCTGTGGTCTTGTTTAAAATTGCAAGTAACTGTAACGTTCATTAAGTAATTACAGCCAATAGAACATCTAGACCTCCAGGCCACTCTTAACCTCTGCAAACCTCTGTTTGTTCTTCCCAAAGTATTGTTTTGATTTTTGAAAATAGACCAGCTGTGGTATCATTGCTACTGTAAAGGTAAAGAGAACAGTAACTCACACCCTTCCTCGACCCTTCTTAGTCATGAGAATTTTTGCTTCTTAATACTTTAACTCCAAAGTCAGACACCTTGACATGCTTTGCTTTTCATCTACCACCTCCACTGAAAAGCAGCAGCTCAGACATAATTACACGGCCTCACTGTCTAACACATTTGGGAGCAGGCTGGGAGACTGTGACTGGAGCAGAATGAGTGATTTCCAGGCCACCTGGTCAAGTTGCCAGCCCACTGGTGGTAACTGACAGCTTGGGAGGGAAACTGTCCCGGGAGGTGTTAGCAATTAGGTCAGTCTAGGGAAAACTCTCACAGCTTTTCCATTATTAGCCTCCAGAGTCTTTCTGTGGCTGTTGAATAACAGGCTGGTTTAACATCACCCTGAAAAAGGGGTGGAATTGGCCAAAGAGGTGTTTATAACAGTTCCCAGCCGTGGAATGGGTTTTGGTCACTTCTCAGCTTGTAAGTTCCTGCTATCAGATTTACCATCCACACATCAACAGCAACCTGAAAACCTTTGGCTTTCCCTGCAGTCAGGACGTGAAAGCAGGATTTAAACAGTTGGATCCTCTGCACAATACAGTAATTTTGAGATGCTTAATATTTAAGAAGAAACACCTTTTAGCAGTCAGAGCAGTCTGAACAGTTTTCTACAAAGATACTGGTTTTTTCTATTCTCTTGACTCCTACCAATTATTGGAATTACTTTCCTTTTACTATAATAACAGTTTTAACAAATGAAACAAATTATTCCTGAATTCCTTCAGCTGTTCTGTAGTCTTCTGGTGTGCAAGGGGTTTGGTTGCTTTGGGCAAAGGTCTGAGTGGGCTTGGTGCCTCTGTTTTCATTGTATTATTGGCAGGAAGAGCCTTTGAGAAGATTGGCATGTTGCAGGGTGATGTTGGAGATCTCCAGGTGTGTGTGGCACCTCCCATTTGTTTCTAGTGCTTCTGCTTTGAGAACATTAATGCTGCATTTCAACAGGATCAACTTTATGTTTTGCAAGGTGGGAAGGAATCCTGTTGCCCTAGGAAATCCCACTTCATGCAGAAATTACAAGATTGCTGCAGTACAGCAGTGCCCCGTATTGCTGAAAATGTTTTTCCTAGGTATTTTCAAATAAGATGGGATTATTTTTTGAGCAGAAGGGTAACTTGACATGCTTTTAATGGTTAGAAAAGGGAATAATTGGATTTTCTTCAAAATGCAGAGTTTCCTTTTCCAGAGAGCAGCTCTGAGATATAAAGATTACATGTGTTTGTTAGAAGAGTGTTGTATCATTGTCCTTTTTTTATACTAAAGTAACTGTACTTTGTTTTTCTCTTTTTTAGCAACTTCAGTCTCAAGCTCGGGCACTGATAATGTTTGCTGGGATGATCCCATACAGAACATCAGGAGACACGAACGCAAGACTGGTGCAAATGGAGATCCTTATGAATTAGCAGAGCAGCTTTGGCTGGGGTTGCAGCAGCCTGTGCCTGTCTTTAGTACGTTCAGAGGGCCCATGGGACCAGTGTCATTTTGTATTCTGTATTTTTGTTGATGGAAATAAATTTCTTTGGTTTTGATATTTGTTTTTGACATTTTAATTTTCACTGATTCTTGTGGTTTTATGTTTTTATTAATTTTATTTTCAGTTGGTTTACATTTAGCAATTTAATTAGGTAATAGATTATGCAGAAAAAGAAGTCATAGCTCTGCAGCAGGGACACAAATGTGGAATTTTATAGCAGAAGAGGAAATGGAGAAGAAAGCTTTGATTTATTGCTTAATGTACTTACAGCTGAGAAACTTTAGGGGGTTTTGGATGCATGTTAAGTGTTGAAAATATGTCTGATGCCCCACTCACCCGTGTGACACACTGCCATCAGCCCATCCCATTGTCCCGTGTGGCGCTTGTGCTGCTGCAGTGCCGGTGAGCTCTGTGTGCTGTGCAGACCCCTCCGTGCTGAACCAGGTGCTCTCAGCCTGGAGCTCTGCCGAAGCTTTTGCAGGAACAGGTGGGTTGGAAACAGGTATATTTTGGTAGGAGAGTTTTTTGTGAGCAACACATGAATTTTAGTGAGTTGCATTCCAAGTGGGCCCCTGTCAAGTTCACCAGAAGTGAGAAAGCTGAACCAGAGAGGCCCAGGTGAGGCTGTGTTGGGTGTGGGTGGATATTACTGTTGGTTTAGCAGGAAATGTGAGCCCTACAAAAGCAAGGGGCTTTAAAAATGGTTACCTTTAAGTATTTTGAGCTACAATTAAATAAGAGTGGAAGTCCAAGGACCATATTATAGTAGAAGCTTTTATTTTTAGTATAACTGCCTATCGTTGAGAAAAAAAAAATGAGAGGAATGTTGGTGGTTGCTCTTGCTGCTCCCTGCTGCTGTCTCACCTTCTTGTGTTACTGGGATATGAGAACATGTGGCATTTGGAATGCAGAATGGGCAGCAAAATGTAGGGGCTGATTTCAGCCTTTGTATGTTAACAGCTATCATGGGAGAGAATTAATCTCCATTTTGGATTGTCTTAGTTTACTGGGATGGAGGAATATCTGACTGACGTGATGACAATTTTCCCAATTACTTTTTTCACCAGAAATGTTGTAGCCTAAGTTTTGTCCACCTTTTGGACAGGAAGCAAAGGGCTTGCCAGCCACCCCAATCCATGTCTCTCAGCATTAGCAAACCAGAGGATAGAGCTAGGGACTGTGTACAGCATGGAGTGTTCCTGTAGCCTGGCCAGGATTGTGCCAACTGAAGGCTGAGGGAGACCTGGACAACACCCTACAGGTAAAGGGGAGTTGGTGAGTTACCAAGGAGTTATTTGGGGGTGGGAATGGGCTAGAATTGCTTGACAAACTTGTCAACAGGTGAGTGTGGAAAGATGTATTGGCTATTAACATTTCTGGGATATTTGTGTGGAAATGCTTCTTGGCATATCTCAGGTAAGAATTGATCCCATTCCCTAGAGAACAGGGACCTTCCCTGTTGTTTGTTGATAGTCGTGGTGGGGCCAGGGCTGCCCCAGATGCAGTCCTGCAGGATGATCATGCTTCTGTGTTCTCTTTGCTGGTGCTCAGCCCCTGTCCCTGAGTTACTCACAGCATCAAACCACCTCCCATACAGAGAGGCTGGCAAGTCTGCACCTGTCCTCAGGCAACCACTGACCTGAGCAGAGAGGGACAATGTTTGCTGGAGTCTGGGAAGGGTGAGGGCCACCTTCCCCACTGTAATTCCCTCTCCCTGATCTGCCATTCATGCAGGAACAGAAGATCTTTGAGGCTCAGCTCTCAGTGCTGCCATTTCAGGACCTTGCTCTCCTATCTCTTGCCCATCCCCTGCTCAGGGGAGCTGTCGTGCTGCCTCACTGCCATGTTCCATGCCCAGTGTTGAACCTGGGGACCTTCTGTAAGCAATACATTGCTCTTTCTCCATCTGCCCATTAAGGAGGCTATAGCAGGGGCTTTCTGGTGCTTCTCAGTCTTCTTGGCTGTTGGGAAAGTTGATGTCTGTATACAGTTTCCTCGCTTTGTGCCCTGTGGTTGTGATTCCAGCCTTTGGTCACTTTTTAAGCTAATCAGAAACTGAATTATTTCATGCTTTCAAAATCCAAGATGATCCTTCTGTGATGGACGGATGGGAAATAAACCCGAGGGAGTCCAAGTCCCAATACTAATCCTGAAAAGGTAAGACCAGCCCCATTTCCATCAAGATAAGAGATTGTGAGTATAACAGAAAGTGCCACAGATGTTTGGACTTAATTTATTACTTGTTGATTGCCCTGTGATTTCTTCTTAGGTTTATGCAGGTGGTGAATGTTACATCCCATCCATCTTCCCACATTCCCCAGAGTGGCAGGTTCCAGCTCAGTGCCTGAGCCTGGCTCTGGCAAACCTGACTCCTCTGCACGGCTTTCAAGGGCTTTGCTGCTTTGAGGTAGATGCTGATGCATGTAGTGGTGCTTTGCTGAATAAGGCACCCCCATGGTTTTCCAGATGTCTCTGTTTTCCCTCCACCTCATGATTATTCTGCTGGAGAGAACAATCAGTTTCTGCTCCCTCAGGTTTTGCACCATCACTCTGACTTAGCTAATCTACAAGCTTAGCCTTTTCGAGATAGCTTATGTGCTGGAAGGGTTTTTGGGGTGTCACTAAACTCATGCCTTTTGTTTGGTATGACCTGTTCAAAGCTGGTGTCACTGTGCACTCCCTTTACAACAGGGAGTAGTGCACAGTGTGCAGCAGAGCCAGGTATGTTCATCTGAGCTGAATTCATTCTGAGCAAAAACTGACAAATCTCTAAGTCAGTGGAGCTCTGCTCTTTATACACAAAGCAAGCACAAATTAAGTTTATGGTAATTCCATCTGCCTTTTCCTACCTTGAGATTAATCTCTGGCATTAAAGATCCTCCAGGTAGATGAGATGCATCCAAAGGGTGACTCATTGGTTTGAGTCAAATACGGCTGAAGCTTTTGTTGCTGCAGGAGATAAGAGGAAAAAGTGTTTCCTGTGAGAGTTTGTAACAATCTTTCTGATATGGATGCAGCAGAGGCAGGCAGTCTCCAGGTCTGTGTCCCACAGTTAGTGTGACTCTGTGGTTCTGAAACATTCACACATGCTGCAATTCCACCACAGCAGCTCCTAAAGCTGCACCTCCTCCAAGGACCAAGGGCTGAGTGATGTGGTCTGGATTTACAGGGGAGTTGCAGAGAAATTTAGAAGTATTTGCTGTAAACTTCTGCTCCGTGTTACCTGTCCAGTAGGGAAAAAATTAGTTTAAAGTTCTGCTCAGGGTTAACCTGATAAAAACTACACTGAGCTCAGCTCCTGAGGGAACTGGCACTGCTGAAATGTGCCTTGATGTCCTCCACTGTCAGAAAGCTGGTGTCAGTGGATCCTGTTTCCTCAAGCTGTCTCTTGTTAGGTTTTTTCCTAGTCTAGACAACAAAATTAATCCTTTTAAGTATTTTCACCATTACCCCAGAGTATGCTGGTCATAGTCAGGGTACTTACTTGCCTATGGGTTACATTTCTACTCCTCTGCCTTTTCTTGGATTTCCCTGCTGAATGCAGATTCTGCATCTCAATCTGATTTTTTATTATGTTTTCCAGACCCTCGGGCTGGAGTAGACCTGCTAAATTTGTTCACCACCGTTTCCTACTAATACTACATTTGTCTATTACTGCTTGGACCTTGTTCCTTGAAGGAGGAAGAAATTGTTTTCAGAAAAAATTAATTCAATTAACTTTTTTTTGCTTTGTTACTGTCCCAATCCTTGTCATCCCAGCCTCTCAAAGAAGCAAAATGTTTTCCTTCCAGCCTGGAAGAAGTAAGGGGATATTGTTAATTCCAGTTCTGTGTCCCTGGGGATGGGACAGCACTCAAATACTGCCTCTGTTCATGTTCCTGTACCAGTATTTTTGTCTTCTTTCTCTCTGGGTTTGAAGTTGGAAGGATGGAGATGGTGTCTGGAAAAGATGGGAGATGACCTCTGTGTTCCCACTGGGAAAGGTTACCGGCAGATAGCTGAATAACCATCTGTTTTCTTTTCCCAGGCTTCCTTTGCTGTGGTGCTAAGAAACTGAGTCTGCTCTGCATGGTGGGTTTGCAGTGCTGAGCCCCTGCATCATTCCTGTGTCCTGTGTCACTCAGGGCGGTAGGTTCCCTCTTCCACAGGGATGGAAACGGGTCAATTAAAGCCTTTTGGAATATAACACTTCGGCAGTCTTTAAAAGAAGCTGTGTAATGCACTGCACTATGCTCTGCTTAACTCGGTTTTGGGTTCATTTGATGCATTTAATATCCAGAACAAACTGGGGGATCGGCTGGAAGTGCGGGAAAGCCCTGCAGAAACAACTTGGTACCTCTTCCGTGTGAGTGGAGGGGCTGGAGGGAGGTGCTGCAGAGCTCCCCTCCCTGCCCGCAGCTCCCAGCGCCGCTGGCCCCGGTATTGTTGCTGCAGCTGGTGTTGTGAATCAGGCCGACGACAAGCGCTTCCTACAATCCGGCTATTTCACTACACCAGGGTTGCATCATACCACTCGCTTCGCTCTTCGCCCGCCTCTGGAGCCCTCCTGAGTCTTCCGGAGCATCTCTGGCTGTGCTGTGTTTAACAGACCCCCCGCTTCGGAGACTGATTGGTGCTGTTTTGGGCAAATCAGCGGTTTTGATGAAACAGTGAGGTTCTAAAATAAAGCCACTTGTGCTGGGTGTGAGTCTGCTGATGCATCTGTTGTGAGAGGAAGCTGGTGTCCACTTTGTGGAGGTTGTTGTGTGAGGTGCTGGGGTGATGCTCTTTCCTGTCCCCACCTCACCCTTGTCCCTGCTCTCCAGGCTCCGAGGTGCTCTCCAGTGCTGCAGGGGCTGAGCATGGATGCAGACCGGGCTGCCTGCCCTCAGCTGCGCGGGGCTTGGGTGTTCTGCCCTCACACAAACAAGGGGGCTGGAGCAAGTCCTCAAAAATCAGGTCAAAATTTTTGTGTGAATGCAGAGACAGCCAGAGGCAGCAGGCAGGCAGGCCCAATTTTCCATTAACTTGCAAAGCCACACGGAGCTGAAATTCCAATGGGCTGCCCTCGAATTTTATTGCTGGCCTTGTTTGCTGTCTTTGCTGATCTTATCTGTAACTGCTTTTGTGGCACATGTGACAGGGGCTGCGGGAGTGTAAGAGGCGCCCATCCCTCCCCCTGTCCTCACCTGCTGTGGCTGTGGGGATACAGCCCACACAAGCTTCAGCTCGTGTATTGTGTGATGGGAGCAAGGGTTTAAGTGGCTTATTAACTCTGGGATGGGACTGGAGGCAGTTCTGAGCCCTGGGTGCTCAGTGGTACCGTGTCCCTGGGTCTGGCGGGGAAGGGGGCTGTGGGACCATGGGCGTCTCTGCTGCCTGGAACTGAGATCTGCCAGCTCCCAGCCCTGGACAAGCACAGACAGACTTACACTGCTCTGTACACGCTTTCTTCTCCAGCAGCCTGGAATCTGAGTCCCAGCAGGGGCATCCCTCACATCCCTTGATGTCATGCTCCCCGCTTCCCTCTGGTTTCACTGTGAGATAAAGGCGCCATTCCCCTCCCCACATCCGGCCCAGCTCCATGCCACAGGCAGCGCCTTGGAGACCAGCCAAGATGATTTACGAGATCTGACGGGTCTGGGGCAGTATCCCAGGGAAGGGCGAGGGTGCGTGGGAGTCTTACTCCCTTTTTCCATAATAAATCCCTGTGAACTGAATGTTCCTGGGTTGGGGCCGGAGGCAAATTCAGCGCTGCACTCCTCTGGTGATCTGTCCTTGGGACTTAATCTCAAATCTGTTATCGCTGCCCCCATCGAGCGCTGGGAGGCAGTGATGCCCATTATGGTGGTTTTGGTATCCCTTCCAGCTATTTTTTTCCCCCTGACCAGCTCAGGGTGGTTCAAGCTGATTCCTGTCCTCTATTAGCATCAGTGGTGGGTGTGTGCTGGTCACCTCGCTCCAGTTTTGCGGGGTATAAAGCCGGCAAGCCCCTCTTCACCCTGTCCCCCACCTGGCAGGCTCCTGGGCAGGGGCAATGGCCGAGCTGCCCATCCCAGATCTGCCCCCGGCCCGCTGCAGCGGCCGCTTCACCATCAGCACCCTGCTGGGCGTGGAGGAGGGGGGCAGGGGTCCCTACACACCCACCGAGGGGTCCAGCTGCGACAGCGTCCAGCCCACCCACCTGTCCAGCAGCACCCTCTGCACCAGGACCTTCGGCTACAACACAGTGGATGAGGTGCCAGCCTACGACCACTATGCCAACAGCAAGGGGGTGGGCGACCCCAGGAAGGGCAGGCCCTCGCTGGCTGACCTGCACTCCATCCTCAAGGTAACAGGGGGTTTGGCTGTACCCATAGCATCTCTGGCATCCCCTGGTCATGCTGCTGGTCCCTGCGAAGTGACTGTGGTGGGTCACTCTGTCTCCTGCCTCCTGGTGCCATAACTGGTGCTGTGCTGACTGCATATGCCCAAGAAGGCCCTGAGAGAAGCCAGAGAATCCAGCTGTTTCCAGCTGTGTGCTCAACCAGAGCATTGCCTCCAGGGACAGCTGTCTGAAGTCCACCCTCACCTGCCTCCCCCTGTCCCACAGCCTGACCCGGGCCGCCTTCACACGCCAGTGTCTGACCTGCAGCAGAGCAATGGCCTGCCAGAGGCTGGGCTGGAGGAGGCAGAAGGGGAGCCAGGCAGAGACTCCGTGCCAGAACCTGTCCGTTTTGGATGGGTGAAGGGTGTCATGGTGAGTGTGACCATCCCCCACAGAGCATCCTCCTACTTTGTAAGCATTTTACCCTTGTTGCATTTTTCCCGATGTCTGAATTTTTGCAAGCACATATGCTTTGAGCAATTCCCTGCCCTCCTCGGTGGGGTGGTTTTGTCTGAGGAGCAGCAGAGCTGGCATGGTTTGGCCATCCCCAGGTGTCAATGCCCGATGGCCAGTTCCCCTCTGTCCCCCCTCAGATTCGCTGCATGCTGAACATTTGGGGAGTTATCCTCTACTTGCGCTTGCCCTGGATCACCGCCCAGGCAGGAATCGGTGGGTGCTGCCATTCACTGTGGGCTGGACAGTGGCACTGGGCCCATCATCACCCAAACACCTGGGGGGTGGTGGGACTCCTGGGGACAGCTGGGGGATACAGGAGTGAAGTAATGCTCTTTCCACGCAGCCCTGACATGGCTTATCATCCTCATGTCTGTGACAGTGACCACCATAACCGGCTTGTCCATCTCTGCCATATCCACCAATGGCAAAGTGAAGTCAGGTAGTATGTTCCCCCCTGGCCACCCCAGGGGTCTCTTTATCCTGGGGCTGCCCCATGGATGTGAACTGGCATAGGCTATGAGGTGTGGGGGAACCCCAAAAACGTGGGGGAAGCAGTAATGCCACGGGGTGTTCCCTGCCTCAGGAGGCACCTACTTCCTCATCTCACGGAGCCTCGGGCCGGAGCTGGGCGGCTCCATCGGGCTGATCTTTGCCTTTGCAAACGCGGTGGCTGTGGCCATGCACACAGTGGGCTTTGCTGAAACTGTCCGGGACCTGCTGCAGGTAAGAAAGCAGCTCTATGTCCTCTGGGTCCCAGTGTCCCCCCACCCCTCCATTCCCACCTTCTCCCTGCACAACCTGTGTTGGTTATCAATATTTGCATTATCATTGGACCACTGATAATCCAACAGTGGCTGCTACAACATGTGGAAAAAACAGTGGTTTGGTAAGGAAGAGGGTTATTTCCATGTTGTGAATAGTTCCCCTTCTCCAGGAGCACAATTCCCTCATCGTGGACCCCACCAATGACATCCGAATTATTGGGGTCATCACTGTGACGGTGCTGCTGGGCATCTCCCTGGCTGGCATGGAATGGGAGGCCAAGGTAACCCTCACTCCTGCTCACGTTTTTCTCCTGGGCTGATAAGAGCTGTCCCTGCTGGCAACCAGGCATCTGAGGAGCAGAGGATGCCTGTAGCTCCCCAAAAACAGGCATGGGTTTCTCCTAATGCATTCTTCACTCTTTCTATGCTCAAACACCCAATCCTTTAGCTGTCTCTTTCTGGTCTGGCAGGCACAAATACTGTTCTTCCTGGTCATCTTGGTTTCCTTCATTAACTATCTTGTGGGGACAGTGATCCCAGCCACCGCTGAGAAGCAAGCAAAGGGCTTCTTCAGCTACCGAGGTGGGTCCTCCACAGGCTGGGGCAGCACTCAGCAGGTACATCTCTGGATCCTTGCTCTTTGCTGCAGTTTGGGGAGATACTTGCTATGGGAAGGTGCTCCTTGCTGAGAGACATTATTAAAAGCAGTGTCCCCTCCCATGGGGTCCCTGCCATCAGCACTATGCCCCCAGCCAGTGCTGAGGTATTTTAGGCAGGAAAAAAGTAGCCAAGAGGCCTCAAATACTTCTCTGCTTTCCCCCAGCTGATATTTTTGCTCAGAACTTTGTGCCCAACTGGCGTGGACCTGAGGGCTCCTTCTTTGGCTTGTTTTCCATTTTCTTCCCATCTGCAACTGGTATCCTGGCTGGGGCCAACATATCAGGTGACCTGAAGGTGGGTTGTGACTGTTGCTGCCTGAGCCAGTTTTTCTCAGGGCTCAAACCCTATTTTCCCTGGGGCTTTAATTTTGATCCAACCATTAAACTTTATTTCTTATGCAAACTTTGGGCTCAGCCAGGAGATTCTCTGTGGCTTTGTGATACAGTGAATTAAAACTCCTCCTGTACAGCAGCAACAAATAAGCTGCCTACATTAGCACTGCTGCTGGAAAGCTGTCTTATATATCTCTGCACCTCCCTTGGGCAGGATCCTGCTGTGGCCATCCCCAAAGGCACCTTGATGGCCATCTTCTGGACCACTGTGTCCTACCTGGTGCTCTCTGCTACCATTGGTAAGCAGCACATCCTCAGGTGCAAAGGCTGAGGGGCTGGGTGGGTGGGCTGGCCCCTACCCAAAACAGGTGGTCTGGGAGGATGCAGGTGAGTAGGAGCCAGGAGCAAGCTGTGTGCAATGGCATTGATATCCCAGTGAGTGCCACAGGTGCCAGATCTTGTTCCTACTCCCACATGGGGCAAAGTCATCCTGGGTGGGCAGTGGAGCTCATGGCATTGCTCAAAGCCATCGTGCAGTAGGGCAGCCCCATGGCAGGGACTTGGGAATTGTCATGGGTAACAGGATGTGGGGCTGGGCTTCATGAAACCATGCAGAGGTGTCAGCCCTGCTCTAGCCCTGTGTGTCCCCCCAGGTGCCTGTGTGGTCCGAGATGCCTCAGGCAGCCTGAACGACAGCGTGGCCGTGGGCTCGCCGGGCTGTGAGGGACTGGCCTGCAGCTTTGGCTGGAACTTCACCGCCTGCAGCCAACAGCAGAGCTGCCGGTACGGGCTCAGCAACTACTACCAGGTACTGCTCAGAACCATGACCAGCCCCTGTTCCTGCTCCTGGCCAGCTATGTGCTGCAATGGATGGCTTTTCCAGGGCAGCTGCATGCCTGGCACCTCCCTGCCATCCTGGGGGGCACCCATGCTCTTGAAACAGCCATTTTTTAACAGGAAGGCACCACGGAGTGGGCTTTTGGATGTGGCTGGACTTTGCTACCTGGATAATGTTAAAGGAAATGCAGCAGGATGGGGCCTGGGGCTGGAAATCCCTCAGGGTTGGGGTGGACATTGGTGCACCAGGTATGCTGGGGTTCCTGATCCCCTGGTTTTCATGCAGAGCATGAGCATGGTGTCTGGATTTGGCCCCCTCATTACAGCAGGGATCTTTGGTGCTACCCTCTCCTCAGCATTGGCCTGCCTTGTCTCAGCCCCCAAAGTCTTCCAGGTGAGGGGGTGGTGTCTGCCCACCCCAGCTCCTCTCCCTGAGCTCAGCAGTGGGTGATGCTCCTTGGTGCAGGGCTCTGCATCTGTGAGCAGCCCTGGGGCAAGGAGGATGCTGTCAACACAGGGCATGCGTCCAGTTTGGTCCTTGCTCTTATGAATGCAGGAGCCACTACGGCACTGCCATCCCATGTGCCTGGCAAAGCCTGCTGTCCCCACTGCGTCTCTCTTTGCAGTGCCTCTGCAAGGACCAGCTCTATCCTCTCATCGGCTTCTTCGGGAAGGGCTATGGGAGGAACAGCGAGCCCATCCGTGGCTACATGCTCACCTATGTCATTGCCATTGGCTTTATCCTCATCGGTAGCTACATGCTGCCCCAGTACCCTCCTGGAGCTTGCCACCAGTAGGGTGGCTCAGTCCCCACCACTGACATCTCACTCTCTTTCTCCCCCTTCCACAGCTGAACTCAATGCCATTGCCCCCATCATCTCCAATTTCTTCCTCTGCTCCTACGCCCTCATCAACTTCAGCTGTTTCCACGCCTCCGTCACCAACTCCCCAGGTGGGCTGTGCCGTGCCAAGCCGTGCCCTGCGGCGCCGGTCCCACGTCCGGCTCCCCGTCCCGGCAGCGGCCGCTGTGTGTGTTTGCGTGCAGGCTGGAGACCCTCCTTTCGGTATTACAGCAAGTGGGCTGCGCTCTTTGGAGCTGCTGTCTCAGTGGTGATCATGTTCCTGCTGACCTGGTGGGCAGCCCTCATTGCCTTCGGGATCGTCATCTTCCTCCTGGGATATGTGCTCTACAAAAAGCCAGGTGGGTGGTGGTAACCTGGCACCAGCGATGCCCCAGAAGGTGTCTGGCCCTGTTGCTAATCCATCTTCCCCATGCAGATGTCAACTGGGGCTCCTCCATGCAAGCCAGCTCCTACAACATGGCCCTCAACTACTCAGTGGGGCTGAGTGAAGTGGATGAGCACATCAAGAACTACAGGCAAGGGCAGCTTATTGCAGTGCTGGGCATGGAGGGAGTGGGATGAAGAGCCAGCTCCTGCCTCCGGTAAACCCAGGGAGGCTTCATGCCCATGGCCACATCCTCACCACCACCCTCAGTAACCAGGAGCTACAGCAAAACGTGTCTTTCTCCAAAATCCCATGTCTGTGCCCTATAAGGTAGAAAACTGAGTAAACCCTGCCCTCCCTGTACCAGGCAGACAGACACATTGGTGTCATAAAAAGACCAAAGAGTGATACTGGACCCTCAGGCCCCATAATGTTTTCTCATTCTAAACATGCTCCCTATAGCTGCCACTGGCCAAGCATGGGGGAAGAGACATGGCTCATTCCAAAGAGGCTGGATGCCTCCAAAGTACTATTCTTCACTCCTTTTTCCCCTGCCTGCAGACCGCAGTGCCTGGTACTGACTGGCCCACCCAACTTCCGCCCGGCACTGGTGGATTTTGTGGGGACCTTCACCAAGAACCTCAGCCTGATGCTCTGTGGCAATGTGCTGATTGTGAGTCACTGCAGAAGCTGGTTGGTTGCTTGTCCTGGGGGCTCTGGCCACCAATGGGTGGTGGGCTGGGAAATCAGTTGTATCCTGGTGGATACGGGGTGGAGGTTGAAATGGTGCCCACTTGTGTGCTGCTGGATGATGAAATGTGTCAACTGGAAGCCTCTCTGAATTGTTAAGCAATATTGGTGAAGCATGAGGATGTCCCTGTGGGCTTATGGCTTCCCGTTGCCAATTAATTGTGGAAGATTTGGAAGAAGGAAGTAGTTGCTCAGAGGAGAGGGTCCTGCAGCCCTGAAGTCTCCAGAGCAATTGGGTGCAGTAAGAATCAGCTCATCTGCACCCACAGGACTGTTGGGATTGTGTGCACTGGCTGTCGACTCCCTGGATTCACCGGTTTTCTTGGCTGTGATTGCAACCTCCCATGTGTGCAGTGGTTACATCCACCTCTTGCCAATTATTTGGGAAGAGAGGAGCTAGAAGTCCTTGGTGGTGAGACTATCAGTTGGAACGGGCTGCCTGAGCTTCTGCCCCTGATTCCTGCAGGGACCACGGAAGCAGAAGATGCCAGAGTCCCGGCTGATGGCAGACGGCCACACTAAGTGGCTAATGAAGAGGAAGATCAAGGCTTTCTACACAGATGTGGTCGCTGAGGATTTGAGAAGTGGTGTCCAAATGCTCATCCAGGTACAGCCATCTTTGGCCTTCCAGCAGCAGGGTCCCTCCTCTTTGTCACAGCTTGGAGGAGCTCTGACCTCCCTCCACGATCTCCAGGCACCCCCCTTTGGGTTGCTCCCCGATGGAGTGGACTGACACCGCCTGTGTCCGTCTGTCCCTGCAGAGGGATCTCATGGGGACATCTATCCTAGGCTGCTGGCCTCGGGAAGATGAGACCTAACATCTTAGTGCTGGGCTACAAGAGGAACTGGAGGACGGCATCTCCACAGAGCCTGGAGGACTACGTGGGCATCCTGCAGTACGGCCACAGCGGCTCCTCCCCCTCTCGGGTCACTGGCCCCTGGTGGTGGCCCCGCGGCCGCTGACGGCGGCAGTCAGGTGCGCAGGGCTGGGCTGACAGTGCACCTCCATTAACTGCCTTCTCCTCCCTCCTTCCAGCGACGCTTTTGATTTCAAGTACGGCGTGTGCTTAATGCGGATGAAGGAAGGGCTGAATGTTTCCCGCGTGCTGCAGGCACACGGTAAATGGTTTTGGTCAGCCAGGGATGCACAGAGACATGGAGCTGTGGGATGTGTCAGCCAGCACCATGTCCCCAGACAAAAGCCACAGTCCTGACGGGACATCACTCCTGTGCTGGGATCTAAGGGGATGGGGACAGTGAGGCACTGCTGTACTGCCTTTACTCTTCTCCTCCCTCCTCAGTTAACCCCACATTTGAGGCAGCAGAGCACCCCAAGAATGGCACTGGCAGCAAAGCAGCCCCAGGCACAGGTAGGTTGGTCCTGGCTTGTGACTGCCCAGAGCATCCCCAGCTCTGAGGATTATTTTGTACACAGGGTGGGGGTTTCAAGCACTGATGGGGAGCAGGGCTGGCACCAGGAGAAGTAAAGCCTTTAATCTGTGGCTGGTGGTGCCATTTGCTGACACCAGGACCCTCTTGCCCCAGCAGCAGACCCCACTGCCTTGGCCAGTGAGCAGCAGGCGAGCACCGTCTTCCAGAGCAAGCAGGGCAAGAAGACCATTGACATTTACTGGCTCTTTGATGATGGAGGTAACCTTCACCTTCCATCTGTCCAGATAATGTGAGCCCAGCACCTCCGCTGCAGTGCCCAGGAGGGCTCAGTCCCTGCCAAATGGGGCCAGGGCATCCCTGGTCTTTGGCATCAGGGAAGCAGTGGTGAGCCTGGGGGACACTGCTGCATCTCCCACCGGGTGTTTTGGGGCCAGGTCTCACGCTGCTCATCCCCTACCTCCTGGGGCGCAAGAAGCGGTGGGGAAAGTGCAAAATCCGGGTGTTTGTTGGCGGGCAGATCAACAGGATGGACGAGGAGAGGAAGGCGTAAGTGCTGGTGGCCACTGCACCTCCTAGCCACTTGGCCACTGCCACTGGTGATACAAGCTGCTTCCCATCCTGCTGAGCCCCACCAGCTTTGCTATAGTGGGATCTGTGAGCTCTGACTTGGCTGTTTTGCCCCATTTCTCTGGAAATCAATGTGGCTGCACAGTGAGAAAATCCAAAGTGCAATCTGAGGCCAGCAGCAGGGTTCTCTGCTGTGGCAGGTCCCTGTCAGATCTGCTATTCCCCACTAACTTTGGGAAAATATGTCCTTTTCCCTCCATTAGGATTGTCTCTCTGCTGAGCAAGTTTCGCCTTGGTTTCCATGAGGTCCACATCCTCCCCGACATCAACCAGAAACCCCGGCCAGAGCAGTAACCATCCCCCCTTCACCTTCCCCGTGCCCCCACAGCACCCCCAGTCCTGCCCAGACCCTCTTCCTTGGCACTGTCTGCTTGTGTTGCAGCATCAAGAGATTTGATGAACTCATCGCTCCCTTCAGGCTGAACGATGGCTTCAAAGATGAGGCCACAGTGAATGAAATGAGACAGGGCTGTCCCTGGAAGATTTCTGATGAGGAGATCGATAAAAACAGAGCCAAGGTAGCACCAGTGCTGGGGGAGTTCCTGCAAAGGGTCTCCTGCTTTTTAGACAAAATTTACTCCTTCTGGAAACCATTATTTTGTGTTTCTGATGCTCTTTTGCTCCACAGTCGCTCCGACAAGTGAGGCTGAATGAGATTTTGCTGGATTACTCACGGGATGCAGCACTCATAGCCATGTAGGTGCCAGTAATGCCCTCACACTCGTTTCTTACCCCATGGGAATGGTCCCTCAGAATGTTCACCCCTCCCTGGGTGGGGAGGTCCTGCACAGACACTCTAATGCTCTAGCGAGACAGTGCTATAGCACAGGGAAAAGCCCTTGGAAGACACCAAGGGCTCCAGCTTGGGTCCTGTGGGGTGGGAGGATGTGGTGTTGCCCCTTGTTCAGGAAATAACCTGCAATGGACTGAGAAAGGGCTGTGCCAGCACTCTGTGGCAGCTGTCTGTGCCGCCCTGCCTCACGCCCCTCGCTGTGCCGCAGCACTCCGCCCATCGGCAGGAAGGGCCGCTGCCCCAGCTCCCTCTACATGGCCTGGCTCGAGACCCTCTCTCAGGACCTGAGACCCCCCATCATCCTCACGCGAGGAAACCAAGAGAATGTGTTGACCTTTTACTGCCAATAAAACCTCCTGCATTCCTGATGACTTGGGATGTGAATTTTTCAGGCCAGTTGTGATCCTGGAGCATGCTCCTCTGGGAGTCTGGGGGAGCAGTGAAGGCATGGTGGTTACCAGCCCTCTGGAAATGCCCACCAGGCACAGCTGCCACCCTCTTACAAACACTTGTTTGGCCTGTCTAAGGCTCTGTAGGTTGTACATCGATAAACAGCAATGCAGTGCAATACCCTGCAGTGCAGGTACTACTCTGGCCTGGGGTTAGCCAGAGCCAGGCAGGGGAGTTGTGGGGTCCTGCACCTGCATGCCCAGGAGAGCAGAGTGTGCAGGGACTGAACGCTGGCCCAATCAAAGCCACTGGCCCCGGGTGGGAACAGCCCCAGGGACAGGGAGCAGGTCAGCACCAAGCCTAGGGGCTGCAGGGCCCCAGCATGTCCCCTCGGGGACAGCTGCTGTCCCAACAACTGAGCAGCAGTGAGATGTCACCTCAGACTGTGGTGCCTGGCTGCAGATGCAGGTCCAGCTCCCAATGGAGACAACATTTACCACCAGAACCAGGACATTTCTGGTGCAGATGGCCCCAAGCAAAGCAGGAGTGCAGCTCATCTCCAAAACCACAACCCAGGCCCCGTTGTCATGCTGCAGAAGAAACACACAACATTCATTCACCTCAAGAGTTACAGAATTTACTGATAATCACCACCAGGATTAGGAGTGTCAGTAGAAAAATAAAATGTACAGACTTTTCAATCATACAAAGATTTGTTCATGACAGCTGCAGCTGTGAGCGAGAGGAAGCCAGGTCGGGGCAGAGGGGATGTCACACACAGGGAGCAGGGCCACGAGCCTCAGCATAAGCAGGTGTTCCTCCAGGGCAGGCAGCTTCTCCAGAAGGTGTTTCCTTAACCAGCACACTGGCTGGGCTCCCTAGCAGAGGCTCACAGCACTGCTGAGCCCAGGACACCTCAGTGTTGATGTTTTTGCCAACTCTTTGCAGTTTTTGGCAAGTTTGGCTGAGCAAAGTCTACCAATACCTATGAAAATTAAAGGGATTCCTCAAAAGCCTCACTTGGAATAAAGGAATGGAAAGGGAAGGCCAAACCAATGAGGGGAGGAAACTGCCACCAGCACTTCAACTGCCACCTGGTGCTTCAGGTCAAGGCTACTCCTGCTTTCTGTTTAGCTCTGGTTTTTCTGGAGAGGGAGGCTGCCAGCAGCAGCCTCCACAGTAGAGTGGAGGATGCTCTGCGAGCACCAAGGTGACACAGAGAATTTGTCTCCTGTGCTCGTATGTCAAGACAATCAGCTGATTGTTCACCTTTTATGCAAGAATTCCCTGAAAATTTCACAGCATGCAGGCTCCAAATTCACAGCATTGCCAGCTCCAAACACTCCAAACAGGGTCAAGCTGCCAACTCTTCAAGTAAACCAGAACCACCTCAGAACAAACTCTCAGAGATCCCAAGGGATGGAAAATGGGATGTTTTCTGTTCACCTAGCACTGAGTGACTTTACTGAGCAAATTTTCACTTGTTCTGAGCTCTGTAAACAGCCCCATTTGTGTCCTGCACCCCCCAGCCCTGTTCCTGCAAGGAAACCTCCTCTTGCTGTAGCACAGGACACATGGATAAAGTGCTTTCTCAGTTGCAATCAGTTTAATGGCTATTGAGTGGTGCCAGGCACCGGTGAAGGGTAAATGAGAGCACAACAGGTGCTCAGGACATTGGTTTCTGGTGTCACCTCAAAGGTAAAGCCAGATCCACCCTATTCGAATTCCATGAGATACTTTTAATCCATCCAGGAAAACACAGGATAATTCCTGTAAATTAAACTGTGCAGTCTGTACACACACTGAAATACAAAGAAGGGGCAAAAGAAAGAAAGCTTACTCTCTCTTTTTCATTGTTTCTGCCCTGGCAGGAAGACTGGCTCTCTACAAGCAGCACAGCACACAGGGCTCTCTATAGATCCAGGGCTTACTATAATTTACACCACTTGGACCTCACCCACCTAAGGAGAAGGATTCACATTAAATTATTTCCTAAATTGTGCATCTACATTCCCTGAATTAACATAGGCTAAAATTTAGAGTAATCTCAGTTAGTAGCTCCTGCAAAATACCTCCCACTGTCCACAGACCACTCTTGAGGAGACCATGCATAGGGAAACCCTTTTCCATCATAAACACATGCCCTGTTGAAGGATCACAGAACCAATTTAGTTTAGAAAAGCCCTCTAAGATCCAGTCCAAGCTTTGACTGGTCACCACCTCGTCATTCAGACCATGCCACTAAGTGCCACATCCAGTAATTCCAGCATTGAGGACATGGGCTCATGGTAGATAAATGGCCCTAGGAAATGCTGCAGGTACAAAAGGAACTGATTTGGAAACCAGAGGAATTCAATGAAGACAGATGGGAACTGTCCCCTGAAAGGATGGACACAGACAGTGCTTTCCCTGTACAGCCCACATGGTGTGAGCTGGGTACAAACACAGCCCACAGCAAATCCCTATGGGTGGCTGCACTGCCCAGCCACATCCCTGGAATTCAACCTCAGCTTCCCCAAAGAACCAAGCCCCAGGAAGCACCCAGTTAGCTGCTCAAGTGCCCCAGCCATGTAGCACAATTGCAGAGCTACCAGTTAGTTAAAAGTCACTTAACACTAAAACAATTAATGAAGAGACAGTACTGCCTGTGGAGAAGGGTTGATCTGGGGCTGTGTTCACATGGACACAGGAATTACCCAGGCTCCTGCCAGGAGCCTTGCAGCTCTCCCAGCCCCTGGCATGCTGTTGGCTGGATGCTGAAAATGTGGCACACTCCCTGCACCGGGGACACCCCAGGTCACAACCCAGCCTGGCCATGCAGCTCTCAGCAGCAGCATGAGGGATTTTATCCAAGCTGTTCAGTGCCACCTCCAGATCAGTGCAGACACCCAGCTCCACCACACCACCATGAACAGCGTCAGCAAGTCAAAGGAGAACAGGGTCATCGAAAACACAAGTCTCCGTCACAGCCTGAGGAGAAGCTGTGCAAACCCACATGCACACCTGGGATTTCTGGAGTGCCCATTCAACTCTGCTTTGCCTCTGGGCAAAACATTCACAGGGCCAGAAGAGTTTTGCTGTAATAAAATTCACAAAATCTTTTTCATACCAATCATTTCCCCTGCTCAGTATTCACAGCCAGAGCTCCCAGACACAAATTTGCATTCTCATCCATCTAAAATGAGTTTTCCTTTTGCTGCTCCCAAATCCACTATGGCTATGACCTGGTATTAAGAAGTTCGGATCAGGAAGGAAACAATTTTTTAGTTTAAAAACTGATATTAAAAGAGCTTCAGGTTCACTGAAAACCAAGCAACAAAGTGGTGAGTGCGCTCTGAGGACACAAGGTCACTCTGGTCCTGTTCCTACCCCAGCACAGCTGGTGTCACGTTTTAGTCATGTCCTGTTACAGTTCCTCACTGGTGAAAGGTACCCAGGCCTCCTCCTCTGGTAGCCATTGTCCTACCCTCCAGAGAAATAAAAGTTTCACTTGGCACTTAATGTTACCAAAAAGTAACAAAATTCACAATTTTAAAATTTCAAGCCAGGCTGGAGGCAAGACCAAGCCCTCCCAATTCCTTAAATCAGCAGAAGAAACACAAGGCTGGAGCTGTGCTCTCTGTGATTTGTTCTGAGGCAGCAGGTCCTTTGCTCCCCTCTGGTTTGTGTTCTCCAGCCTCTCCAGAGGAGCTACAGAGTGGCCAGAATGCGCAGGAAGGAAACCACCACCACACAGAATGTCTGGCCCACGCCAAAAATGAGGGCCTCAAAGGGAATCATTTTTTTCCCCGCAGCTCTGTAAACTCCAGCAATGGCAGCACCTGTGGAGAGGGGGGAAAGCCAAGATGTGAACGTGAGACAGCTGCTCTGCACAGGGATGAAGGGGAAGCCCCAGGATGTGAGGCTGGGGCAGAGAACAGCGGGGTCTGACCCTCTCCCTGCTCACCAGCAGGCAAGAATGCTGGGCTGGGGATGTCTGAAAAACCTCAGCCAGGAACCAGAGCATGCTGGTGGCAATGGGTGAACTGGTGTGGAACTCTGCCTTCAGCAGGTGTGGGGGGTCGGGACATACCCTCGTCACAAGATCCCCCACCCACAGCCCACAGGCTGCAAACATTACCCACTTCTGGGCACTGACACCAAACCTCTGAGAGATTTTCCTCCATGTGCTCAGAAATGTGAGAGCCCCCTTGGCTCTGCACCCATGGCACGTTTGGTATGCCCGATGCAGGGCTCGACACGGGGTACGGTGCAACTCTTTCAAACTTGGGGCAAGGGGGGAATAAAGGCAGAACGCTAATCTCCATCCGAGGGAACGCCGCCATTCCACGCGCTCCCGAAGGCAACCTCTGACCTGCACAGCCGCCCGGGGCACTTGCCGTACTTGTGAGGGTGCCGGCGGTGATGGGTCCCACGATGCCCATCAGCAGGACACTCACGGACATGAACCTGCCGTACTTGTGGTGCCGGAGCGTGAAGAGGGCCAGCAACGCGGCCGGGACGTGGAAGGCAAGGGAGGAGACGAGTGCCCACAGGAAGACGCCGTACCACATCTCTGAGGAGAGAAGGCCTGTGAGGGCGGCCCGGGGCCCGCAGGCCTCCAGCGGCCCCGGCGGGCGGACGCCGCTCCGAGTGGGGAGGTACCTGGGAAGGTGGAGAGCGGGCTGGAGTAGGTGGTGGTGCCATTGCCCACGCGGGGCACGAGGCGAAGGCTGAGGATCTGCTGCAGGAGCCCTCCGCCACCGCCGCTCGCTTCGCCGCCGTCCATCCCCGCGCCCGCCCCGCCGCCATCCGCCACAGCCGCTTCCGCCCGCCCCCTTCCGCCCGCCGCAGCCAATGGGAAGCGGTTTAACATGACAGACAGGGCATATTACCAATCAGCGCTGGCCCCCGTGCGGCCGGGTCCCGCCCAGACCCCGCGCTGCCATGGGAACGGCTGTGGGCCGCAAGGAATGCTGGGAGCCCGCGGCGCGGGGACGCTCCGGCCCCCGGCGGACTCTCGTCGCTGCTCCCCGAGCGCGGCGCTGCCGCGGAGGCGCGGCCGGTCCTCCCGACCGCCAGGGGGCGGCGGCGGGCGGGCGGCGGCGGGCGCGAGGCGCCGTGAGGCGGCGGGGCCGGGCCGCGGCATGTCGGGGTCCGAGTCTGAGTCGGAGCAGGAGCAGTACTCCTCGGCCGAGGATGACGACTATGTGCCCTCAGGTGAGTGGCGGCGGGCGGGAGCCGGCGGTCCCGGCGGTCCCGGTGCTCACTGGCCGTGCTTGCAGGTGCGGAGTACAGCGAGGACGATGAGAGCGAGCTGGTGAGGGAGGAGGAGCCGGCGGACAGCCCGCCGTCGCCCCGCGGCAGGAGGAGCCGGCCCGCCAGCAGGTACGGCCGCGGGGATGGAGCCGGCCCGGTGCCGCTGAGATGGATCCGGCCCGGTGCCGCCGGGAATGATCCGGCCCGGTGCCGCCGGGAATGATCCGGCCCGGTGCCGCTGAGATGGATCCGGTGGCGGGGCGGAGGGACGGAAACGCTGCTCTGCGCTCCGGTTGGTGGCAGGAGCGGGGAACCTCGGCCCCAACAGACAACGTGCCGCAAAACTCTCCCCAGCAGAAGTTGTTTGTATTAGCCTTTTCCACTGCAGAGCACTCACGTTGATATAAATATATACATACTTTAGTGGAGCTGGTTTCTGTCTAGCCCAGGTTCTCCTCCCCTCCTGGCTCCTGCTTTAGCCCAGAACCACAGGGCCCTGCAATGGTTTGGGTTGGAAGGGACCTTAAAGACCACCTTGTTCCACCCTCCTGCCATGGGCAGGGACACCTCCCACCAGACCAGGTCACTCAAAGCTCCATCCAGCCTTGAACACTTCCAGGAATGGGGCAGCCACTGGCCAATCTGTGCCAGTGTTTCCACACATTATATACTCACAGAAATGCATGCAAATGGGCCAGTTCACTTCAGGGGCACTGCCTGCATTAGTCTCAATGTATTTCTGAGCAGCAGCAGCATCTTTTAATAAAATACATACACTCCCAAGGTTAAAAGAGAACCTCCCAGATTGGATGTGTTAGTAAAAATATGAAATATCATGTTGCTTCACCCAAGCTTACAGTTCAGCTCTGGAATAGTGTTGCAGCAGGTCAATTTTTTCTTCTTTTTTGGCATCTGCTTTCAGGAAGAGGAAGAAAGGCGGTCTTTTGCTAGAGGCAGATGAGAAAGAGGAAGAAAAGACCCAGCAGAATGGAGAGGACCAGAAAGAGGAAGAAGTGGATAATGCAGAGCAAGTAGAAAGAAGCAGAGAAGAAGAAGAAAAAAAGAAAGAGGATGCTCTTTGGGCCAGTTTCCTCAGTGATGTAGGACAGAAGCCCAAAGCTGTGGCTGCCACACAAGGGACACAAATCAAGAAGGTAACGGGGGCCTGGGCCTGCAGCCAGGGAGTGTGGGAAGGGCTTGAAGGTTTAGAGCATGCCTCCTTGGTTCTGGCTGGTATCTGGTGCTGGACACAGCTGGGAAGCGGCTGGGGTTGCCCCTGCCCCCTCTCTTTTGTAAGACTCTCATCCCCTGATGGGCCAGACTGCAAAGTGCTGATTTCCTTCCAAGTGCAGAGGTGGTGCTGCTTTTGGAGCTATCTGTCAGCAGCTTGGAGTGTCCTACACAGCCCTGTTGGCTTCCCTTTCTGGTCCTGGATACCTCTTTTGACACAGGAATGATGAGCTTTGGTCTAAGTTGTGCCCATGAACACAGCTCTCCCCGAGGCTTGTGCCTTTCCTGATGCTTAAAAGAAAAAAAAAAAAAAGAGGCTTTGTATGTGTGTGTGAGTAGGGAAACAGGAGGGGTCTGTGATGGCACCTCTGTGCCTCCATCCTCATAGAGGGGGTCTGGAAGGTGGTGCATGTTGCACGTTTGTAGCAAGATAGAATCTGGCATTCTTGTGTGCTTTGTAGGCCCCAGTATGATGCTCAGTGTGCAGAGGTTTTACTGGAGAGAGAATTCTGTGTGTGGTAGCTATTCGAAAGGATTTGCTTCTCAGTACAACCAAGTGCGTGTGTTTCCCTGTCAAAACCTTTCATGCTTTAGGTGGTGGAAGGGAAGAATGTACCACAATTGAGCCTCTGTTGCTAGAATTATCAGTTTGGGTTTTTTTAGATAGTCAGCCAAAATAAATGTTCAGTAACAGAAGACTGGAGTCTGCCTGGTGAGTACAGTTCTGACTGTGAAGCTTCTTTCTATGACTGTCGGAAGGTTGTGGAGCAAGTATAGTTTTGTAGTATTTGATTGCAACTTTTGGAAGGAGAATCCTTTCATCTTAGCCCTCCTGCTTTTCCTTATTACTGACTGAGCAGCTGGGGTGATTACTTGTAGAGTCAGAGGGAAGAAGTGAACATTTTCTTCTAAGCAGTTCTACTTTTATGGGTAGGTTGCTAAAATGTGAGATGCCTTTGAAAGTTCCCCCATAGCCTGGAATAAGTCATGGAGACATGCAGTTTCTCTGTTCTCTTTGTGAACTTCTTGGGCTTGCATTGCCTTCTTGAAGATCTCTGTGGTGTGTGGTTGATTTAGACCAAGAATTGGTGTTTGCTTTGGTAACTTACAGTGGTTGAGGTTTTTTATGTATCCTTTTAGCTCTAGCTGTGAGTAAAATAAGAGGCATTGTTGACAAATTGCTTGATAAAGATTTTTCCTTCTCAAATAAAAAGCTGGGAGATCAGCATTGCTTTTTCTGCTGATGAGTTTTGTTATTCTCTATTCTTGAGTAAAAAATAAACATACTTTAGTGGAATTCACCTTGGCAGTTTTCCTGCTTGGTGGTGCTCAGTTTGGAAGAACCAAGTCTCCAGGCTTTTGCTTTCTTTCGAACCACTGCAATGCATTCTTGCTCTTTCCTACCTTTATTACAATTTCACTTCTTATTTTAGTTTGTTTTGATCCTAGAGCTTCAATGACAGCCTGGAACCAAAATGGAGAATTCCATTATGGTGGAATCAAATTTATTTATTTATTTTATCTTGTCTGTGACTTGCTTTGAACACCCAGTGATTGAAGTGCTACCCAAGGTCTGTGTTGGGCCCTTGGCCCTTTGGAAAAATAATTTGACTCGGCACCACAAATGCATTATTTTGCTTTCTCCTTCATGTATTTTGTAGACTGAAGAAGAGAACAGTGGGAATAAACCTCAGGAGAAGCCAAAAGATTCAGGAAAAGTGACAATCACCAAAACGTTCGATTTTGCTGGTGAGGAAATCAAGTAAGTTGTGGAGATGTGACGTGTCCGTTGTGGGCCCAGTGCCAACTGAGTGCTGCTGTGCTGGGGGCAGGCTGGAGCTGGGCTCTGAAGCACAGTGGGTCTTCTTCACACTGTTTTTTTTCTTTTATTGTGAGCACATACAGATCTCAGGCAAAATGAGGCCAAGATTTTCCTGCGTCAGAGCTGCAGGGTATTCTTATATGCAGACCTCAGTCTTTACTCAAATTCATAACATTCATAACTGTAATTCAAATACACTTAGGCTTCCCCATCTGGCCGGTGTTTATAATGGTTGGCAGAGCTCCCTGGTGACACTGGCACTGGCAAGGTTGAGACACAGAAGGAAGCACATCTGGTCCCACAGGGATGAGGGTAACACATTTTATTCCTTCAGCCTAGTCCAGGTTCTGTGCTGTGAGCAGGATATTGGCTGGCACTTTCCCTGGTGATGTTCACAATCCACAGAAAAGATTTGCAGGCAGTAAGAGATGTTTTGCTGATCAGACTGATCAGCTGAGTGCTTTTGCCTCTGAAACAGCTGCAGCAAAGAGGATGGGCTGGGTAAAATCATGCTTTAAAAGGCTGAGTTTGGCTTACAAGAGGCCTCCCAGGCTGTGCTGCAAGAAGGGCCAGGTGTTTTATAAATGCATAAGACCAAAACTGAGGGGCTTGGCTGAACCCACCTGAAATCTCTCTGCCCTTTGAACTGCTGGTTCTTATCATAGGGATTTTATTTATATAGAGCAGTAAACCTGGTTTTGTCAGACTAACTTGACCTGTTTCTTGTGACAGCAGAGGGCAGCAGCTGCCAGCAATAACATCACCCTGCCTAAATCTGGAGGAGGAGGCAGAGCTGGGGCTTCTGCTGCTCTTGCTGTTCATGTTAGCACTGCTGCCTGAGCTGTTTGAAAAATCTGAGGAGAGCTGTGAGCCATAGTAGAGACTTTGCTACTTCCCTGAGCAAACCAGACCATAGCAGTATCCCTCATTCACTGATGAGCTTCATTCACTGTCTTTTGGTTACCTTATGTGAACAGAAGTTGGTCTGGGCTCCTAAGATGCTGATTTGATGCTTTTGACATCAGTATCTTATCTGTAGTTTCTTAAGAACTGTAACTAAGAAAAAGACATATTTTCCTGCACCAGCTGGTTTTCTCATGTCCTTTGCACTGCTTGGTGCTTACTGTTTCCCTTAGGAAACTGCAGAGGAATCACCAGAAATTTCTACCAATTCTTGATGAAATAGGCAATGGCTGGACCCTGGGTGACAATGAGACAGTAATTCTGCAAACACCAAGGTTAATGCATGTTTTGTTTACAGCAGGTATTGTATCACTTGGTTACAGAACCAGCAACAGAAGGTTTGCAGTGAGATCTGGAGCACTGTTTTCTGCTGGTACCAGAGTTACAGCAAAGTTATGTTCTTGAGCTCTTTCATAACAGAAAAATCCTTCAATGTTTTTTGCCCCCTTGATTTTTGTGATATGGAAAGTTGATTCTTTTATGTTGTTTGCTACATTTTGCTGCTTTAAATGGGCACACTGTTAGCTGTGGGTAGGGTACAAGGTGTACTTGCTACTCACAGCTGCTGGTACTTTCCCTAATGGCAGTAGGTGAGGCTCAGAGGGCTGCTCTTTCTTCAGAATAGCAGGAGGTTATCTTTGCACCACCCCAACCTCTGCAAATGCTTTGAATACCAAACACTGACTTCCTTGCCCAGGGAAGCAACTGGCAAATCGTTGCTTATAAAAGGCCACCACATGGTAGCTGTGTGTGTGTGTGCATTTCTAGACTGAAGGAACTGAAATGAGAGCTGTCTCTGTTGCTTGCCTTTCGAAATGGTTTGAGGCTACTGTTGAGTGTTGCTCTTTTGAAAGCTTGAGAAGAATTTAGATCAGTATTTAAGCAGTGAAAGATTCAGGACACAAATTCTCACAGTCTGCTCACTGAAGCTCTTAACAGAAGATCATTTAGCCCTGATCTCCTGTTGCAGAACAATTTATTTTCTTCTGTAAGAAGATGGTATGATTTTACTGGCCTGATTGAAGTAGCAGAAGTGGCTTGAAAGTGATCTCCAGCTACATGGCTATAGTGCAATAGTAAAGGAGCTTTGTGTTGTCAACTCCCCTGTAGGCTTTTGCTGCATTTAATATCTATTTTGATGAGTCTGTGTTTGTATCAGTTGCTAGTGCTGAACTTTAGCTTTGGAGTGTTAAGAATTAACAATTACCAAATGAAGAATTTAATTTAGTAGCTCCTAATTTTAGAAAATACATTATATTATTTTGCCTTGTAAAATGAAAGCTGTTGAATCCTGAAACTAGAAACAATCTTAAACTGATTGCAGTGCTTTCCAATTGGGGCTTTGTCTGCTTTTTCTCTTTCCCTCATGTTAAATAGATTAGGAGCAGCAGGTGACTGTCACCCAAATGGCTGGAACTATGGGCAGCAAGAGCAATTTGCAAAGGCAATTCAGCATCTAAATGGAAGTTCAAGCCATTTCTCCCTGTCAGAAAAGACTGAAACTCCTTTGGAGACTCTGGTTTATGAACTTGCCTCACAGTGCAGGATGTGTGTTTGCATTAATAGGGAATTGCATCCCTAGTGCCAGGGAAAAACTGTTGCAATTTGTAATTGCTTGTTTTCTCTTTGGCACTCCAAAGGGATTTAGTCCTTGCCTTTCTTTAAATCTCTGTTGTGCTCAGTGCATCAAAATGGTTCTTCTGTGCTCTTTCCATGAAAGTGAACTTTGTGTCCAGCTGGGACTGCAGCAGAGTGAAGCTCACATACATGGAGATGGTCTGTCCCCGTGGTGTCAGTGTGACAGCCTGTGAGGGAAGAGCAGAGTCAGATTATTGATTGCTGTCAGGAACAGATTTTACTTTGAAACATCTTCTCCACCTTAATTTGGCTTGTGGAAGGCAAAACTAAGTTAAAAGTAGTAATGGCTAGGGTGCTAATTTAGGAATGGGAGGCCTGTGTTCCTGCTTTATTCATATGCTGCAGATTCCAAGTAGAGGTCTCCAGCCTAGGAGCTTTGTATTTCTTGCACACAGTTTGCTCATGTAGTTTAAAGCCAGAGCTTTACACAGGTTATTCTTGTGGTGGGGATGCTTTCCTGCTACTGCAGAGTTGCTGTGCTGTACTGATGATGCTGTGTTGTGCTGGCATAGCTGTGGCTTGTGCTGCTTTAGTGACTTGGCTGCTTCCCCATGTGCCTGAACCAAGCAGCCAAAGCAAAGCTGTAGTAGGGCTCCACTCTCCATCTGAATGGGGAGGTGCTCCTGTCACAGCTCCTTTCTCACAGATAGGTGGGGTCCACACTGAGCTGGTGCATTGCATGGGCCAAATCAAAGTAGGAAGGGCCAGTGCCAAACAAGCAGTGTCCCACTGAGTGTGTGCCTTGCTGCTGGATTTAAGGAATACTTAAAGTTTATATAGTTCTGTATAAAGAGTGGGCAAACTCATGTGAAAACAGTGTGTTGAGCTGTCTACATGAGACATGAACTCCCATCTCTGGATAAGGATTGCCTGTCACTGACTTGTGTAGGAGACCACATTTGTGACTTAGAATAGCCCGTGGGTTGCTGCTGTGGGACTGCTTTTACTGGTGTGCCCACTGTGCTCTGAGGAAATGAGCTGTACTGGTACATGTGCTGAGCAGAGTTGAGTGGCAGCTTGTATTCTGGGTTGGGGAACACAGTGGTTCACAGTGCAGCTATTACATCTTAAAAGTGCTAAAGGAGTACCTAAGGTATCTGATTTATAGCCAAATACTTATAAGCTTAAATTACTGTAGTAATTACTGAGGTTTATGCTGGCTGAATTTGATACTTCATCTGCCACAGTTGAAGTATGGGTTGAAAAAGAACCTGATTTTCATCAGTTACTGTTTGTAAGTGGTTATCATCTAGGACGTACCTGGACAAAACCTCATTGCTCATTCTGTGTTGCTGCTTCACAGGTTTTCAGCCTACGTCAAGGATTCAAGAAAGATTTTTCAGAGGAGATTGTTTGCAAGTTGAAATTTAAGGACCTTAAGCTGGACCTTAAGTTGAGGGGTTTAGTGGTGAAGTTCATGACTTTTGAGCAGGAGAAGCAAAGATGAAGGAGGTGGCTGAGAGCAGGTTCTTGTCAGGAGGCTTGCCTGTGCTGATGAAAGCTCTTTCTTGGCCAGTGCCCCAAGTCTCTGTACAAGAATGTCATTGACAATAGGAATTGTGCAGGCACAGCTACAGACCATTGATGGAGTTTCTTTTTTTGCTGTCTGTGAAGTCACTGAGGTTTACCTTAGGCCTGATTGGGTGAGATGGTGAGGCCTGAGCCCAGTCTGAGGTGTTGTCTGGGCTGCTGAGCTCTTCACCTTGGTGAGCTCCTCAGTAGAGTTGTGCAGACCTGGTGGAGGACTGATTTATTCCTTTGCATCAAGAAGTGCTGACCTCAGAGTGGAGGTGATGTCATAATTCAGTTCTCCACAGCTGTACAGTACTGCTGCTTTGGGATTGCTTTATGCTGCCTCTCCTTACTGAAATATTGATTTTCTGTTATTAATTTTAGCTCACCTGTGTGCTTGTTGGATGGACAGCTATGTCCTAGACTGCTCACTGTTTAAACTCTGGATCTACTGTCCTCTTCCAGAGCTTCAACCACTTGATCCCAGACCCTTTTTAGGAGATAGCAGGTGGAAAGGTGCAGGAGAAACAGATCAGACACCTGAGAACAGCCTGAGCTTTCCACAGTCCTTGCTCAGGCTCTGATTCCTTATCAGTGGCTGTGATGTCCTCTCTCTTCCTTATATGACTACTAAGACCAACCTGACAAAGTTGGCAAACAAAGGGTGTGTTAGCCAAGGAGTTTGGGAGTCTGTCACTTATTTTGTTGCTCTGAAGACAGTTAAGGTGGCTGGCTGAGAAATAGCAGCTGCTTCTGCTTTTTCCTGGAAAGCAAGAAGAATGGAAGGAAAATCCTGGTACTGATGATGTATTTCAAGGGGAATGGGT